GGATTGTCATCTGGGGAGGATTCCTTAAAAGCAATTAGGCTGGGATCATAGTTGCATAAGCTTTTTGGTGTTAGGCATTCCAGTTTCATTATTCAATAAATTCAACATTCTAAAATAGTTGTACTTTAATTCTGGCACGTTGCCTTGAAAGCTACTTCCATGTAAGGCTAAATCCAAGAGCTAAGGCTGTTTAGCAAGGGGCATGTGTAACAGTACGGAGCCACCCCTTGGGCCTCGACTCGGTACTGGACTCTGGCCCATCACTGGACCAAAGCCGACTTTCCCACAGGTGGTACTGTGGTTATTCCTCACCACTGCCTCTCCAGGGTCTTTTGGAACCTCCCCAGACTCGAACCCCCAACCTCTACCACCTTAATGAAGTTGAGGCGAAGTCTGGTACCATTGAGCTCAATGGTACCAGACTTCGCCTCAACTTCATTAAGGTGGTAGAGGTTGGGGGTTCGAGTCTGGGGAGGTTCCAAAAGACCCTGGAGAGGCAGTGGTGAGGAATAACCACAGTACCACCTGTGGGAAAGTCGGCTTTGGTCCAGTGATGGGCCAGAGTCCAGTACCGAGTCGAGGCCCAAGGGGTGGCTCCGTACTGTTACATAAAAGGCGGCGAAGTCTGGTACCATTGAGTCAATTTTTCTACCACGATAAGGGTTCAATGAAAAAAAAAAAAAAAAAAAAAGGATTTGTTGAATTAATAACTTGTGAAAAATCGGTCTGTAAATTTGAGGGTGTTACAGCATGCATAAGATTATGACCTATAAACAAATTCTTTGCTTAAAATACCCTCCCTCTTTAAGCCCATAAAAGAATCACAGGGAGTTTAACCTGAGAACTTATTAGTGGACAAAAACACTTCATTAACCCAAGGATTAGACCTTCAAAGCTATTGGTAAAGACAGTTCTAAGAGAGAATCTACGCCAGTTATAACATCTGGTTTCATATTATGTATTTTCATGCTATTAAATGCATGGTTGGTGCATAATAAAGCACATAATAAACTAGTCTAGCTATACAAGTTGATAGACTGGTCCTTCCTATTATTTAAAGCATTAGTATTAAACAAGAAGCTCCTGAACTCGACCAGAATATGAGGGTCCCTATCACTCAAGCATGGCACAAAACAAATGGCTAACGTGAAGTACATTTTAGGAAGACAATAGTATGCTTTCTAATAGGCCATGAGTATAAAATGGAAAGTGAATTTTTCCTTGAAAATGCAAATGGGATTTAGATGAAGGAAGAAAATTAAAAGGGGCATAAAGATAGAGAATTGAAGGGGTCAATTTATGGCATAAGAAATGTCAAGGACTCGAGGTCCTCGTCTGCTCGCACTAAAAAAAGAGTTAGTTTTTGGACTTGTGTGATTGTTGGTTCATTTTCTCATCTTAACTTCTTTTGTTCGATACATATTACCTTGGTGATGTGATTTAAGAATTTTCCCCACCTTTGGCGATAGTGATGGACGGGGTTTTGTCTTATAATTTCAATAAGATTGAGTGATGTTTGTTATTTAGATTGGACTCAAAACACAAAAAAATTATAGAAACTAAAAATAGAATTCAATAAAACTATAGAAATTAATAATTATATATATTTTTTTAAAGACCATCAATTTGTTTTTTTTTTTTGATCTACAATGCTTGTATTGTATAGTTGTATCACTCTCAAGTTGCTCAGCATGATATGTGCACAGGATGTGTGAGTCATAATTTGTTATGCGTGTATTATAAGTTTTGCAAGACTCTTAATTATCTGGTAAAAATAGACTCTTAGGTCACACTTATTCACTAGAATAAAATGAAATGAAATTGATTAAAAAAATTAAGATAAAAATGAATCAAATCACTCTTTCTCTCACGGTAAGCATAATAAGATTTATTAACATATATTAAAAATGTAAGAATCATTACATTCTTAAAAAATCTCATAATTATATTCTCAATTTTATGAAGTAAATTACCCTTCCTTTATAAATGTGCTCATTTATTCTCTTTAATTATTTTATTTTTATCTTTAATTTTTTAATACATTTCATTCTATTCTGTTATATTCTAGTAGGCAATTATGATCTTAATTATCAATATCTAAATCGCTTGCCTGATATGCAACTGGGATGATATGATATTGTATCAATGAAATAATATAAGATTTTACATGATAAAATAGGTACGAGTATCTAATCACCTAAAAGTACTATGTTAAAATGCAACGAACACTTTTATGAAAAGAGGGAAAAAAAAAAATATTTGTGTGCGCATCAGTGTATTTGTATATATTACAAGCGCGCGCATTGTAACTAGCCTGTTATTAAAATATAAATTTAAATTAAATATATTTACAAATTTTTTAAAATTTTTTAACGCTTTTGTACTTGCATTGGCAGTTTGGCACGCGGGATGGGAGAAACCTCCCTCTTAGTCCATTTTCTTTAACCTGATTTGTTTGTCACTGACTCCATGGCCCAATGGATAAGGCGCTGGTCTACGGAACCAGAGATTCTGGGTTCGATCCCCAGTAGAGTCGGACGTTGTTAATTTTTCTCCAATTGTTGTGAATTACATTCTATTTAACTTCTTTTTAAATGTGTTGTAAATTATATTCTATTTGATTTTTTTTCCCAATATGTGACAAGCTAAGCTCTACTTTATTTTAAAAAAGGCGAGAAGAGCTAATAAGAGTAAGACTTTATCAATGATTACTGCTTGACCTTGAAAAATTAGTCTGATAGGCATAGAAGATTTTTATATGTTATTTTTTATTTTTGCATTCAAAGTCAAATGAGTAGACTTTTCAAATATTTCTTATTTCTTTAACACACGCTTGATGTATTGATACTTCAAAGAGGGGGAAAAAATGTAGTTGTCTTATAGTCTCGTAGTCAACCCAAAAACCAGCTAGGGGAAGAAAAAAACGAACTAGCTGAGCCGCTGAGGCGCCATATATGCAAAATATTATAGAACTGCATATCCAAACAAGAGCGTGCACGATGATGTGAGCTAAGCAATTTCTCCATCTCTAAATACAATATAAGTTATTAGTTCATAATTAATACTTATTTTTATAATTTTTTTATCCACCCTTGAATTTCTACAAATAAATTTATTCTTTCTCGCGGCATTAAATAAAAAAAATGAAAACTATCTTTAGTTTATTTTTTTAATATTATAGCTTCTATTTCTTGGAAGGAGTATAATAGTAAAATAACGATGACCATGAAAGCCATGATTTTGGTGTTATATTCTGTGAAAATGCCCAGCCTTTTTTAAATGACCGGGGCTTTCACCTTTCACTGCTTTTTAGTAATGTGTATAAACACACACACTACATTTTTTATCATCAAAACTGACAAATTATAAAAATCTTAAAATAGTTTATAGAATTATTATTTTAATTATATATAATGTCTTTTATGCATGTATAATGCAATTGTTCAATAGCTGAAATATATAATAATTAAAATATTTATTTATTTTTAATAAGATAGTGTCATACATGCTCTTAAAATATTGATATTATTTAATTTTGCATTCATTTTATATTTAATAGAAGAAATTATGGTAATTGTCAATAACAAACATTGTCAAGCATTGCAGTAAAAAAATATAATTGACATTTAAAAAAATTAAATAATAAATAAGTAATAAAGTTTCTTAAACTGAACAGAATTTAAAATTTTAATGATATAGTTAAACCATTCAGTACTCACATGCAAAATGAAATTAATTTTTACTAATTCAATGATAATTTATATTAAGAAGAGAGCTATTAAAAATGTATTATAGATATGACCATTGATGATTTATATGCAATAAAAATCATTGAGTAAAACTTAAAAACATGAAAGTATATATTTATAAAATATTCATATATATATATATATATATATATATGTTAAAATATTTACATGATAATCAAAAGAAGCACAGAGTACGCTATACTAATAATATATATAACTTTAACTTTTTTTAATTATCATGTATATTTTGTCACATGTACTTCTTCTAAGAAATTTTTTGGTGTTGCCACCTACTCCTTTCATTGAAAAATATAAGATTTTTTTTGAGAAGTTAAATGTTTAAAAATATAAGGTATTTTTAATTTTTTAAAGTATGATCATTACTTTTTTTTAATTGCTCATATTAAGAATGACTTTATATTTATTATAGGGTATTTAATAGAGATAAATAAAAAATATAATTACTTAAAAAATAGGTAATTATTATTTTAAAAGTGAGATTGAGTTAAAAATATTTTATATTTTTTAATGAAATAAATATTTTTTTTTCATTTAGATATATTAGGTGAGTTTGAAGTTTGGAGTTTTGAACGCGGGGTCAAAACACTGTTTTGAACGTAGGACTTGCAATTTGAACGACCATTCCAATTTCCAACGAAGCCGGACTACTTTGAAGTTTGAACATGACTGGAAATTCGTTTCGGCCAAACAAAAATAAATAAAGAAACTTCCCGGGTTTTAGGGTTTTACTTTTGACGGCGTCCAGGTTCAATGAACCTTAATCAAAGCTTCAACTGTTTGGTCCGTGGTCTATTTTCTCCTTGCCCTCACTCCAACCGCACGGTTTATGAATGACGGCAACTCTGATTCTGTATTTCTGCATTCTCACGTTCTTCTAAGATTCTCACACGGACCATGATGCCAGTGTGCTCCAGGCTACTTGGATCTTGTCCACATTCATTGAATCTCGTGCTCCCATGCTTTTCTCCACTGCATTACCCCGTTCATCCTGCTATCGTCTGGTCGGAAAAAATTCTTGCTCCGGGGCCTCTCTTCTTGAGAAGGCTATGGAAACAAACAAAAAACGGAAGATAAAACGAGAGGAAACGGAATTCACCCACACACGTGGCATAACCTGATTCGTCACGATTTTTCATTTCTTCATTAAAAAAAAGTAAGAAAGAACCTTTTCACGTACAGATCCTATTTAATTAATTAATAGTAATCATGACATCCATGAAAGGCACATGGCATGAGGTGAGTTGGTTGCCTTGCCAAGTTCCGCTATAAATGTGAAGTTTGTATAGCTGGAAATCCCTCGCCTTCTTCGTGACGCGAGAGAGAAACAGAAGGAGAGTAGAGAAGAAGGCCAGCAGAGAGCGACAATCGCAGCCCTAATCCCTAAGCTAAGCCCTATTCGTTTGGATTCCCTGCCATTGTTTCCTCTCTTATGTGCTACTCGCACCTAAATTGTTCGGAGCATCTCCTTTTTGCCTTCGATTGTCAGAGGATATTGTTATCACGCTTTCCTTCTCGTTTTCTTGGCAATATTCCTGATTAATTGTAAGTGTTCACGACTTTCTTTCTTTTTGTCTATTTGTTTTCCTTAACCCTTACGTGCTCATTGCTATTTGTTGATTTCGAAATGGCGCGGTGTGAACGTTCCATATTTGTTTATTTTTATCCGATAGCTGCTCAAAAAAACATATATAATCGATGAAGTTTGACTGTGATGATTGTCTATAGAAAATCTTTTCTTTCTTTTGTTCTTCTTGACAAAATTTCTTCTTCTTTTCGAAATCTTTGTATCCCTTTTCCTCTTCCTTGTCTTGTTCCGAGGATTAGAGCATGATATTTGCATTTGTTTTCGGCTTTCATGATAACTACCAGTCAACTCGCATTACATTTTGAGTTGTCGTGTATTGTTTTGTATGTCTTGGTTTTATGTGGCTGAGGAAAATGACGAGGGAACAGGGTCTTTGATGGAAGTTTTATATAGCGGAAGCTGGGCATCTGGATACGAGTTAAAACGTAATTATGCTTTTGATAACCGGATTTACCTTCACTAGCTCTTCAAGTGGATGGGGAAACGCTAATCCGAATTTCTGGATTTTCTCTCATTTGAAGTTCAGGCCTAAATTTGATTTACTTTATGTGGAAAGGACAAGTTCTGTTATTACCACCTCAAAATTCAACTTAGTTAAATTTGATGAAATGGTTCTTTATATTGGTTTTTTCTTTTCAGAAATCAATCAGCCATGGTTTTCTGGGTTTTCGGCTATGGTTCACTGGTGTGGAACCCAGGATTTGATTACGATGAGAAAATGGTTGGATTCATAAAGGACTATAGACGTGTATTTGATTTAGGTAAGCTTATTCTTATCATGCAGGTATTTTAATTGCCTACCATATGGGCTTTTTACTGAATATACAATTGCTTAGGCATGTCATTTTCTTTTCGCAGCATGTATTGATCACAGGGGTACACCTGAAAACCCTGCAAGAACTTGCACATTGGAGCAAAAAGAAGGGGCTATATGCGTAAGGACCTAATTCATTCATCATGACTATTGTTTGCCTCTAATGGTCATGTATTAATGCACAAAAATGTGATTAATTATTCATCGATAAAAGTGTACCACCTAAGTATTGTTGCTATAATGTTGCCTCAATGATGGCTCTCTGATGCCAATGCAATGGCCATGCTGGACAATGCCTTACAATACTTTTTGGTCTTTGGCCTTTCTCTTACAACTCTTTCAATTTTATTCAGTGGGGCATTGCGTATTGTGTTCATGGAGGCCCTGAAAAGGAGAAACTGGCTATGCAGGTAGTCACTTCATTAGCTTTGGAACAGTTTTTTGAACTCGTTCTATTCATTCTTCTTGACATTAAATGCGGCTGTAGGTTTTAAAATAATCTAAAATTTTTTAAAGCCTTGTGAACTATATTCTATATGACTTGTAGTATGCCATCCATTTCCGGTTCAGTTAGTAATTTCAACAGAGCACTCAACATTTCCTTTCATTCTCTTTTATTATGTAGTATTTGGAGAGGAGGGAGTGCGAGTATGATCAAAGGAGTCTTGTAAACTTTTACAAGGTGAGATTACGATTTATTGCCCTCCAATCTTTTAGTTTGATCTTCTTCTTTTTTAATCGTCAGCTTTTGTTTTGCTTTGCTTTGCTTTGATCTGTTCTATTGATCCTTACTTTTTTTAATCTTTAGGAAGGAGATTCAATGAACCCTGCTTTAACTGGAGTTATTGCGTAAGTTAATGTTATGCTCTATTACTATTCCTATTTCTTTCGTTACCATAGATTCTTGATCCGGCTATGATGGAACGTAAGTGGCATGTTCTTTAGTGAAATTTCTAAAGGAACCCATTTCAATCTATGCAGATTCACATCTACCGCAGACAAAGCAAACAAATACTACCTGGGACCTGCTCCTTTGGAAGACATGGCGAGGTATTTTTTTTATTTTTTCTCGTCTAGGATCAACTGGTATGCGGTATTCTTTCTTGTGGTTCTCATCTAATTTCTGTTTATGTATTCAGGCAGATAGCAACAGCTTCTGGTCCTTGTGGAAACAATAGAGATTATCTTTTTCGTTTAGAAAAGGCCATGTATGATATTGGTGAGTTATCTATCGCTGATTTCTGTATGTCTTTTCTTTTCTGATATATGATGTCTGTATGTCTTTGTCATGTAATGTCATTGGTGAGTCATGGATTCATGTTGATGAGTGGTTTATGGATCACATGCAGGACACGAGGATGACTTAGTGATAGAGCTAGCAAATGAAGTGAGGAAGGTACTTGGTGTTGTGGGGGATGTGACGCCAAGGGAAGGTCGACTTGCACACCCTTCTCACGTACCTATCCCAGTTCTGCACCCACTTCCACAACCAATTGCGTAGGACTCTTACTACTTGACCAGACCTGAGCTGACTGAAGCCCATGCTGAATTTGCGAGGGAAAGAAACTCGATACGTTATGGATCTTGCTAACCCATTTCTTATGCTAGTCTTGTCTTCTGAATTACCATAACATAGAATAGCGTAGAGCATTTCCACTATCAATTCACACGTTTCTTCAACTAGTGGTAGTCACTGGCTCACTGGAGATTTCAGTGTGTTATAGCAAGCACGCAGCCTACTGGAACGGGTAGCAATTAGTTGTAAGATGAGTCTGCTTCTATTCTTCAATTCCGGCTAGTGAAACAATAGATATTTGTGTTTTATGAAGTTTATATTTGTATTTTTAACAATATAACTTTATTTTTAATACTGAGAATTTTTTATAGGATTACAGATATTTAAATTTAAAGTATTTTATCCTTACAAAAAAATTCTTCTGATAACGAATAATAATTTAGAAACTAGGAATGATAAATTGATAATTGAGATGGATATGCAAGGCACTATTTTATCACATTTGCACAGCATTAATATTCTGGAAGATCAACGCGCACGCGCGCGCGCACATATATATCATATTTCGCAAGAGTATGGGATCAAGTCTCACTTGTCATTTGTGTGTCCGTCGAAGTTGTTAATATATTGAGATCATTATTTTGATTTAAGATGGTTAATTTTACATTACTAAGATATAACTTTTTTTTAAAAAAAGATAATTTTTCATACATTGCACGGCATCTCAAACGACTAGCATTGATAGTTACTTATAAATAGTAGAATTTGTTGTCTTATACTTTATATTAATATATTATTTTTGCCGATTGATGTATTGATTTATTCATGAGTCATGACACAAAAAAGGTCCTATTTAGTAAAATAACAGCATTCAACTCAATTAAATTGATCTCAGATGACCATGTGATTTAATTTTTTTTAACATTTGTTTATCTTTAGTGGGAACAACAATAAATTTTTTATTCCGAAGTTCTTCTCTCTCTCTCACACACACAATTCAAGATGTGCTTGATGTCTAATGAACGAGGGGATTGGGTGCTACATTAGAAAGAAGGATATAGATTCTTTCTATTTCTTCGTCTCTTCATTTTCTCTTCACTTTTATCTCAATTATTAAATTTATTTTTGAATAGTTAAAATTTAATATTTTATAAAATTAATTTTTTAATTATAATACTAAATTTTAAATTTTAATTTAGATTAAATTAATTATATTTTAAATCTCAATTTTTTAAAAATAAATTTAATAATTGAGATAAAAATTAAAAAAAAGAGAGAGAGATGGAGATGGAAATGGAAATGGAAGAGAGAGGTTAAATTCTAAAAGCATTATTTAACTCTCAAAAAGCTGCATTTTCAAAAATGAAAATTAATACCGAGACTGAAAGAGTTCAACTCAACAGATAAAAGGAAAGCTAATAAAAAAACCATCGCAATAACAAATGCTGTAGTTTTGTTATTTTATGTATTTTATTTTTCTTTAGGAAAAAAGAAAAAAACTTGTGCGGGAAGTTGGAACTCTGTTTCCCCCTCAAGCAACAAACAGGCTTTCCTTTGGATTTCATTTCCCGGCATCTTGAACGCCTGCTGGATCGATCTCCGTGGTGGTGTTAGGTCAGAGAGTATCGAAACATTTCGCCTCTCTCCGGATCATTATGGATCATAACGCTGATATCAGCGCCCCTCATTCGATGGGAACCACAATTATCGGCGTCACTTACAATGGCGGTGTCGTTCTCGGAGCTGACTCTCGAACCAGCACCGGTACGCTTATTCACTTTAACATTTCTTTTATATAGTCTGCATATTTAATCTATTTGTTAAGACTTGGAGATTTGGGGGAAACTTTTGTTGGAAGTAGAATTAGGTTTGTGACAGCGTGTCGACTAGAGTTACTCTGAAACCTGCTAGCTCGTGGATAAGTTCTTTCATTCACCGAGAACTTCGTGCTGTTCTATGCTCTTTTTTCTTTTTCTCCTTTCTGGCTCACTGCCCTTTGTGGTTTTCCAATGGATATGTCATATCTTCTCTTTTTATGCACTAATGATTTGCAAATTTTATTTGGAAAGTCAATTTGTCCATTTTGGCTATTACTGGGATTAATGAATGATCTCTTTTACCATCACATCTGCAGGAGTATATGTTGCAAACCGGGCATCAGACAAAATTACGCAGTTGACGGATAATGTCTATGTTTGTCGCTCTGGATCGGTACTACTCCTTCTACATTAACGAGTTAGAGTTAGGTTAATATCTTGTGTGGTTGTAATGCGTCCTTATTCTTGGTTTTGATCTGTTTTTCAGTTTACAATTTTTAATTCGTTTTGTTGTTGTTGTTGTTTGCCTCTTTTGTATTTTGGATGCTTACCTGCTGCATCCAGTGAAATATTATTCTCGTAAATTAAATGTGTCTTGCACTATCTTGGCTTTATGATTATGGTTTTCTACAAGCGTAGATTTAGTTCGTTGGTTGTTTTAGCGTTTGATTTGATCTTTCTCCTCTTTCCTCATAACTTTCTGAATTTTAGGCTATTATAATGGTGAGTTAGATTCTTTTCTGCAGGCTGCTGATTCTCAGATTGTATCTGATTATGTGCGCTACTTCCTTCACCAACACACGTAAGTGGTATTACTCCTATCTATAGTAATTGGATATTCTGAAATGTAAGCTAAAGTTGGAACTTGTATGAAATGGGTTACAATACTTTGAGTTTGTTGTTTTGAAAGTTCTTCTATAGCTTAATAGAGCTTGTCCTGTACTCCTGTTGCACGCTCTTTCTGTTCTGAGTTCGATAATTACATTCCAGCACCCTTAAAGTCCCCTACGATTTTTCTGTTGCCTATAAAGTCAGTTTTGCTCAGGCTTTTACTGCTAGGTGTGATCTTTGTTAGCTGAACTTTATGTCTTGTTCCAATGTGGGTTTTTATAAAAATCCTGATGGGTAGCCTAGGAAGATTTTCCTTGATACTTCAGATGGTTAACTAGTTGCGGGTGCAGTTCTTCTGTCTTTCATTTAAGAATTAATGGAATAATGGAGAAAAGGGCATGAAATGGCTGAAATTTCCAAAGTCCTGATGAAACCTGTCTTATCCTAATTACACTCTTGTTTGACTACTAGCTGATAACTTTTGTTTTGTGGCCACAGACAAAGGAGCTAGTATTCTTTCTCTCTTTGTGCTATAAATTTTAGCTTTTGTTTTGGGGCCACAGGCAAAGGCTTTAACTTGATTAGAAACCACTGGTTGGTACTGATTGACGTTTCCCTGACAATTAGTTTTCTATTTTTATAGTATACAGCTGGGACAACCTGCAACGGTCAAAGTTGCTGCAAACCTTGTCAGACTTCTCTCCTATAACAACAAGGTTCAAGTTTAAAAATTATTTTGCACGTTGACCATGTGTGGTCGAGTTTCTGTCTGAGTTAGGTATCTGATTCAAGGACCACTGTTGCAAATTGTAACAGAATTACCTTGCGTTGTGTCACCAGAATTACTGTGTTGATTTCACACGAACTATTGGTAAAGAAAAATTGGCTAGCATCTATTTTCTTCTTTTTGTGTTAGTTAGTTATTGGCTTGAGTGCTGTCAAGCGTTGCTATATGATTACCAAAGCAAAGCATTTGGGCTACAGGCTACTAATGAATGGTGAAAAGATAGCAGTCTATTGAATGCACTGTATTACCTTCTGTTTTATTTAGTTGAGTGCTCTGCTACATTAATCATCTGGCTTTATTGTAAATCTTCTCATTGGCAGAATTTCTTAGAGACTGGTTTAATTATTGGTGGCTGGGACAAATATGAAGGTGGTCAAATCTATGGTGTTCCTCTTGGTGGAACTATAGTTCAACAACCTTTCGCAATTGGAGGTGCTGTTAAAATTATGCATGAATACATTTTCTATAATGATTTATGCATGCAAGACCACATGTGTATGCATATTCTTTTATGTGCCAACACTTGCAATGCTCGGCAGTGTTATAGCTGTATAAATTTATATTTGAATAAGCATATAAATAAAAATAAACACTCACATTGGCATGAAAAAGAAAAAGTAAAAATCATATTCCTTTATCATTTAATTGTTGATATGTTCAATTCCTTTGATTTTGTTCAAACTTGCTGACAAGTCAGTAGAATCACTTGTGCAGAATATGCTTAGTTCAAATTCCAATCTTGATTGTCTGTGACAACTGATGGAAATGGAAGGCCCAAGCATAGCCAAATGGCTGCTTTGGCCTCTAGTTTGATGTGGTTGTCACTTTTTGGGTGGTATAATTTGATCTGGAATAACATGGTTGAGATATGCATGTTTGCATGTATTTGCATTGTCTAATTTTAAAATTTCATTGCTGGCCTGTTATTTTTTGTTTTTTTGGGATACATGCTTTTTGTTGATCTAACTTCATTTGCTTAACAGGATCTGGCTCCAGTTATTTGTATGGATTCTTTGACCAAGCGTGGAAAGAGGGAATGGCCAAAGATGAAGCTGAGGTATGGGTTTTGATTTTATGGTTGTGCCTGCTGAAAAAAGTAAACTGAAAAATAAGCAAGGAATTGGCAGTGTTTATATGTGGGCTTGGTTAGATTGCCAATGTCATGACAATATTATGTTACTGATATTGATAATGCATGGTAATCAAGAAGCTATTGGGAAATTTGTACAGGATTTATTTTATGTGATATGTTTTGGGTCCTTATTGATGAGTGTCTTTGATGTATAGAACTTAGTTAAAAAGGCGGTTTCACTTGCCATTGCACGTGATGGTGCTAGTGGGGGTGTTGTCCGAACAGTTACTGTAAGATTCTTCATCTGACTTTTTTTCTTGATCAGGAAAGTCGTTTTTTTGTTCATTGAATTGAATCCTCTCCATCATTTTATTCCCCCTGTAGATAAATTCGGAGGGAGTCACTAGGAAGTTTTATCCTGGGGACCAGCTTCCTCTGTGGCATGAGGAGCTGGAGCCGCAAAACTCACTGCTGGACATCCTCAGCTCCCCCGAGCCGATGAATATCTGAGGAACTCGCTGCTCTCTGATGCGATGTCTTTTATGATTTAAGCTTATCTGGCTACATTATATAGACGAAGCTCATTCTGTCCAGCGCATTTATTATTGTGATTTTCGTGGTCAATTTAACGCACGGCAAGTTTGATTGTTTGTTATTTGACACCTGATTCGTCTGTCGTTAGGTTGAAATGGTCAAAAATTCCATGACAGCAACACTGGTTTTGGCCATGAGACCACGCGAAACAAATGCCGTGAAATGCAAGTTGTGAGCATCTGTTTCCCCTTTAATGGTAAGTAAGATTGAATAAAGTAAAATACTTGCATTAAAAACAATAGGGAATGTTTATGAGAAAAACTGCGAACACAATCTAAAGGCACCCGCCACTAATATCTAGATATAAATATTTCGTACTAGTCCTTTGAAATTTAAATTTAGCCTTAAAATCTCCTCCCCGAAACTGGCGTTTTTGGGAGTAGAACTTTGATCAGCAATGATTTGGAGGAGCACGACGGCGTATTTTCAAGTACCCAAACTTACAAGCACCTGGTGATGAACCCTCAAAAATGTAGGGCAAGTAACCAGTGGCTTTTTTGTATCTCTGCTGAATCTGAAATCAAAGAACACAATGCGCACACCATGCCGTTAGCTTCCTACACTTCTGATGTCATGTTAAGTTGGTGTTCATGATAAAATAAGTTACCTCAAAAATTTGTTGATTGCTCTTCAGACAATTCCTGCCAATTACACAAACAGTTCCGCCAGAACCCCCACCAGTGATCTTGGCTCCGCATAATGTGCCACCTTCAACTATAGAGGTTGCAGTGTGCTGCAAGTCTTGAACCAACTGTACAAGCCTATCTGTCCCATCAGACCCAAGTCCGCAAGCGCTGTAGCTGTAATGGCACTGCAAATGCAAATCAAAGAGCCAGAAACATTTTTCTTCAGGTCGGGGTAACCCACTTTGCTAAAGGGTATTAACTCGGTCTTCATACTATGAAAAGGTTAAAAACGAGTTCTTTGCCATGTAACAACGCAATTATTTAGAACGGTGTCGAAGCCAAACACGCAGATACTAGGAATCCAACATTTCAAGAACGTTGATTTCAGTTTCGCTTAGCGTTTGCAAGAGTAATTAGCAAAGCTGCGGGCTTAGAGTTCAACTGAAACTGCAAATTTTCATAATACCTGATATAATAATTCTCCAAGGGCTGAGAGTTGATCAGACGAAGTTGCTGAGGTCAACAGTGCTTTAAATGTCTGCATAACATGTATCATTTGGAAATTATAAATAGCAATAGGAGTATCGAAATAGAATTCACTTGTTTTATGTATTTGGATATTCTCTTTAGGTTTTTTTAGAGCCTTTACTGTATAAAATCCCACATGATTCAGTTGTAAAAGTTATTACTGACCTGACCAATAATCTAATCAAAATAATTTTTTCATAAATAGCATTATATAAATATATATATATTGCAGAGTCAAACAGAACAATTACGATGAACTCTTTTAATTTCACAAATAATAATGCATAATAATAAGACTTTATCAGTAAAAAATCGATAGTGGAGTACAAACCTTGACACGGAAATTTTCATAAATGGGATGTACCGTAGGAGCTCTCACTGCATAGGTACGCTTTTCATCAATAACAGTGACAGGATCATTATGATCAGCAAATTTCTCCAAAAATGTCCCACCAACAATGTACTCGGGAACATTCTTAGCATAAAGAGCCTCATACCTGCAAATAAGAAGTCATAAAGCATCGTTTAAAGTTTGGGTAGCAGCTAACACTGTCGTGGCTATAAGGAATACTACAACATGGGTTGTGACCATGATTTTGTTTTTTTTTTTTTTGGGGCAAATTCACACAATACAGCCATGAATCATTGCAATTACGGACAAGGTTTTATTGAAATGAAACGACTTGAATTTTAACATCTCAGAATTGCTGCATGATGCGCTTGTAACCATTGCCACATCATGGTAGCCACCATAGATGATGTGGTATGCAATTTCAAAGTTAGGGATAAAGGGGCAACTTCATGTTTACCTGATGGTAAAAAAGAGTGGTGTTGATACATAAAATTGATACGGCAAGGAATAAAAAAATTTATTTGATAACGTGTTTTTAAAAAGTTTTTGAAAAATAAAAACAACATTATTTTGAAAAATAAAAAAATGAAAACATCTTCTGGATATTCTTGAATTATTGTTTTGGAGAACAAGAGAGAATAAAAAAAAACACTTATTTTTATTATCTTTTTGTTTTTAAAATATTTTTACAAAACACCAGTTCTCAGAATAATAAAACCCAAACAGGACCTTAACATCTCCAACTAGAATCTATAGAGCGAGAAGGAGGGAGCTTTACCGGTGAGGTGACAAATTGCATAAGTAATCTAAAGAGGCTTCTTTGCTCATCAGTTCTATATTATCATTCTCTACTTCATCATGGTTCAACCCATTTGGAAGTGTCTCAGCCAATATCTCAGAAGCTCTGGATTTTATCATTTTCCGACCCATGAAGGTACCGATTCTGACTGACCCATAGTCTCGCGCCTCCACACTGACATAGATGACCATAAAGATAGGTCAGCAAAAGGAGTAAGGAGGAAAAAAGTGGCTGCTATAATTCAGGTCAGTGATAATTAGCTGAAAAAGAAAAGTAAAACAGAACCACATGAAAGCTGCAAGCCCGCAACTCCAAAAGAAGTTAATGAATAGAGAACATTATTTGCTGAAATTACTTGTAGTAATATCAACAGGTCCCATTGTTCTGTGGATATTCTTAATCCAAAAAAGAAGTTAATGAATAGAGAACATTATTTGCTGAAATTACTTGTAGTAATATCAACAGGTCCATTGTTCTGTGGATATTCTTAATCATAATTTTAAATCATTAGAGAATAGGGAACAATTCATTAAGAATTCAGCTGCCAGTTGTTTCCTGATTGGTGCCATGAAAGCTCGTTTGTTCTAGGGTGAATTGCACTGCCTGGGTATGTCCTCTCTTATTCAAGTGCTAAATCTTACCATTCAGGCCAATCTTGAATGCCAGAACTAGTGGCATTTTAGTTGAATTATCCTATGAAGGCATTTAAAATCGTCTTGCTAGCGCCAGCTAAATACAGAGTCCAAATACATTTGTTCCTAACTTCTTTACACTAGTGAAACTCGGATCAGAACATTGGCTTCAAAAGTCTTGGTTATAATTGTCAGCTGATGTCTTGAAACATGGCATTAAAAATTACAGGCAGGGTCCAACTGTGGCAGAAAAGCACAATAGGAAAATTTCAGCTACCTGTGTTTTATTCCAGAATCGATTCCCCAGAACCGGATGTGATTGGGAATTTCTGCTAGGCCAACAATTTCTGCAGGCTGCGCCAATAACAAGCAGTACATAAAAATCTTGTTAAAAATTAAAAAAAATAATTTATTTAGTTTGAACAGATGCCTACCTGGCAAATCATCGCAAGAAGCTTGTGGCTTCACCACATGCTGAAGCCATTGATCCATGACGCCACATGGAGCTCCAACAATGTGATTTTCCCCTAATGAATGTTCAAAAAAAAAAAAATAATTTCAAAATAATCATTCTAGAGGAAATTTGTAGCACCTAATTGGAATTAATTAGACTGAAGAAGATGTCATACCTTCTGGCAGAGCAACGCCAGATCCCTTGGGCTAATATTCAATCCTGTATAACAGTAATAATTTATGCAGCTATGTTCAGTTAATCTAAAAGAAAAAGTAAAATAAACTATAAAATGTTCCCAGGAAAAATAAAATTGATTACCATGAGAAACTGCTATAGCATGCATGCTAGCAACCTCCACAGATGCAGAAGATGAAACACCTTTTCCTTCTGGAACAGCAGAAGAAACCTGTACAATTTTGTCCAATATTTAGATATTAGCAAAGTAGATGTAGATAGAATGGCAGTTATATTTCATCTAAATGCTTTCTTTTCTTTTTTTTTTTTTTCTTTTGGAAGTATAAAGGTGTGACAACTTCATGCAAAATACATATTGTGAATAACCCTACCAAATATACTACACCATGAGAAATTACACGAATCTCACAGAATTATATTATCTACAATTATAGCAAATTGTCTCAGCCATCAGTAAGATATTTTGCGTTCTTTTGTAAACGTAATTATAAGCTACAAAGGTGGAGAATGATAACTACCAGCATGCTGATACTATCTTCAAAACGTATGCCCAATTCATTCATCAAGACCACAATCGCTCCAGCAATATATGCTGCCCACCTGTTGCAGTAATCATATTAATAAATAGAATGCTAGAAGCATACAAAATCAATTGTAAATGCTACATACTTTTGGGAAGGATCTTGAGCAAAGAATTTTCTTGCTTTTTTGTATGAGATTGGCTTCTCTCCATCCATAAAATCAGACAAATCCATGTCAAAGGTTGGCCTCGATTGCTTAATTCTGAGCCAAATGATACCTGAGGTAGTGCAAATTTTATGAAATGATCAATTAGAAGGATCAAATCTTATTTCCAAGATTCAAAGAAATAGCTAAAACATTATTTCCGTTTCAGTAGATAACATTTTCTCATAAATGTTCACATCAGTTATCATGCATCAGCCTGAGCATAATTCGTCAGCCTATTCGTGATAGAACTAACGAATAATTTCACGTCATTTTGAACATACAATTTGCAAAACAGCAGTTGGTTTATCCCCTCTGGCATTCTGTCGAGCTGAGCATGCTTCCACAGCCGATGCTTACTCGGGTGGTTCCTTTGAAGAGCAACATGGCAGGCTTCTCTTATTGGCATCTACATTAAAATGAAATTAAAGAAAAATAGATGTAAGAGGGGAATGAGAACCTGTCCAGAAATTTCAGAAATATATTTCCAACTTCAATAACATTCTCAGAATTGACCATATTCATTTAAAATAAAGTATTTGATATTCTTTTTGTATGCTTTACCATACTATTCGTAATAGATTAGTAAGTACTGAGCATTGGCATGCTAGATTTGTTATGCTATAATAGTAGTCATCGTTAATCTTATATGTCTCTTTCTTAAAAAAAAAAAAAATTGCATTGTTTAAAGTCTCTTTTTATCCCAAAAGAAAATGTCATCTATCTCTTTTTGACTTCATTGCTTGTCTTTAAATGCTATAAGTGTCAACAAATTCTCCTTTAATTTTGCAATATTTAAGAACATCAAATTTATTACAAATGTATAGGGAAGCTTCTCAGTTTAGTGTCCTTTGTTAGTCTGCACATTTTTTGGAAAATGCACTTCTTCATCTGTACAAGATGTATGTTTCTCGTTTACTTTAGCTTCTATAACAGAAAATGCTGACTCAGAATATGGATTAATGTTGCCAAAGGGCGATGCAATTCTTCTTTAGCTGACAGGACTACCAGAACAATCTTATCTTCTGCAGGATGCAATAGTTGAATTTACTGAAACTAACTTCAGTTTGAAGGTTTCAATAAACTACACAAGCACATGGTTGACAGTCAAATATTAACATAAGGCAATCAAATGCAACTCAAAATTAAAATCTTAAGCAAATAAAAGACAACCTGCAGGACAAGGCTTCCGAGTAGTCAGCAATTCCACCCATGACATCTAACCTTCCAGGAGCTCTTGTCACAAAAATCTCTTCCTGTAAATTGAACGGAAGATAAATAAATTCCAGCATACAAAGGCATTTGAACCTAATAATTTATTTCACATCATGCAAATAAATGATTATTCAGTAATCCTTTTTTTAGAAGGTAGCTTGTAGCTACTGAGACAAATCGATTTAAAGGGAAAAAGAGACATATCAAAAAAACTAATTTTCAGATGAAATAAACAAGACCTCCAAGTTGAAGAGGCTAGCAGCAGCCTTGCGCTCCCGTGTTGTGTGTTTCTCATCCAGTTCAGATAAGGTCTTTAAGAAAGCCACAGTATCCGGAAGACCTTGAACATCTCCGTGAAGAATCTCAAAATGCTCGTTGTGCCTGAACATTTATATGTAGTTGGGAAATGTTACCTAGGCTAGCTATAACCATGAATACAATTATCAAGGCACAAAAATAGAAGTGATACTCACGAGCTGAATATGGAGCTTTCATCATCCACTAAGGAAGGTGGGGATGAGTGCGCAAGTTGATTCTCAGCAATTGCATACCAATCTGGGATTGCAATATCTCGTCCAGGGGACCTTTGTAGTTGATACCCAAGAACTATAGCATCACGCAATCTTCTTGCACCACTAAGCTATATTTTGCATAGTTAATATGTAAGTTTGATTTTTTCTCCAAAAATTTGAGAAACAAAAACAATAAAGATGTGGCCACAGCTTGAAAAAGCAGTTACTGCAGGACTTTTCCTGTACCTTGTCTGATGCATAATTTTTCCCAAAAGCTGTTTCCTGCAGAATGTAGGCTGCCACCTATATTTTTAAGACATTTATGAACAAGCCATCAATAGTTGGAAGGGAAGGAATCTAAAATTAGGTTAAGACAAAAAAAAAAATTCAAATGAACGGTAAGTTGTCATGAAAGGACAGTGACAATGAAATTGAAAATGAAACACTCCAGGGTCTCATTTAAATTGCACAATACAGATAGCAAATCCAGAAATTTCGTCTCATAGAGTAGGTATTCAGAAGTTGCAATGCTAGATACCTAAAGCTTGGTGTTAGCGTATTATAGGGCGCCTAAATAAAGAACCCTGCAAACAATTCCGGATTCTGATACTGCATTTTAAATCTCTTACAGTATATGCTAGGTTGATTTGGCTATAAATGTCAGCTTTTTGAGGCCCATTAATGACTTGGTCTCCATGGTCAAAATTGCATTGTTCGAAACTTCAACACGTACATTGACAATGAGATTACCAACAGCTAAAAAAGACACAATGGTAACAATGTTGCAAAACATATAAATGGTAGAAACTCCAATTATTTCTAGGGAGTAATTTATCAATATCAGCTTCATCTCTCTGCCCTAGTGCTTACTTATATAACTTCCTTTCCCCCCTGCTCTATGATTAATAACAAATCATGTGTTTCTTTCATGCTGATGCATTCAAGACTTTTGAAGAGTCAACAATGCAAGAGAAAGTATGCACCTCCCACCATTTATGCCACCTTCATAGCACGGTTTCAAAGTCATTGCACGTTCAAGATAAGGTTTCCAATGACCAGTGAGTAAATCCCTTCGAATCATTTCAACGCCACTTTGATAATGCTAAGTAAAGACATTTAACAAGAATACTTACTTGTAAGGCTTCTGATATGAGGAAGATAACAAAAAGTGAATGCACACCAGCCTGGGAAAGCAGGAGTACCTCAAGCATATTTCTCAAAAAGGGTTCTTCATTGAAATAGTCTCTCCGAACAAAGACAAAAGGACACTTGAATGCCAGGGCTTCACTAACAGTGCCATATCCAATTTTTCCTGAAATGACAAGCAATAAGTGTCCTCAGTCAGAGGTTAAAATGTTCTTAGATGTTAAAAGTTCTTCAAGGTTATGGATGTTTCATACGAACCGAGCATACAGTCAGAGGCTGCAATGATGTCAGGTGTATATGCATTTTTGGCAAGTTTTTTAAATTTGGTGGAAGGTCCTGGCTGTCAGAAGCACCACAAACCTGGCTCACAACAGCAAACCATCAACAAATAATACATAAGAGTATAATGGGCAAGGAAAATTTAAATAGAAAAATATATGAAGCAAAATCGTTTATGTACCAGGCACAACCAGCCAGAAGGTAAGAACTCCTCCTTCAACTTCCATCCTGATGGCTGGAACAATCATAAAGACAGAAGACATCAGAGATATAGATATAGATATAGATATATATTAGGTCATTTCATCAGTTTATTCTCAGATGTTAAGATAAGTGAGCAGAGAGAGATGAAGAACTTCAGAAATAAAAGTTTCTTTGAAGTCAACTACACCAGAATTCAGCGTCCAAAATTGTGAAAGATTTTTTATCAGGAGATTTTTATTAGAACATAAACCATGGCATTGTGATGATCGTAAGCAAATAATAACAAACACAATGAAGATACTTAGGAATTCAAGCATCATTTATTTACATTTGAAATTCAAGCATGAAGAAGAAATCAAGCACATGCATTCAATAGAACAAAAAGAGAGATAGAGGAGAAGCATATTTTATCACCAACAAAAATAATTAAGCTCTGGTCCTCAGAGGAATTCAAGCAATCACCTGGCCACCAAAGTTGAGGATGACTACCTTCACATCGTCATCTGTTATACCGAGTTCCTTCCTTACCTTCAATAGCATAATTAAAAGATTGTGAAAACTTGGAATCACATAATCATATAGAAGAGCTGCACCAAGGTTTCTGAGGCAGTACCTCTTTTCGAGATTTGTGCAACCTTCTCACAACCAGAGGCACATCAATAACATCACGAAAAGCAGGCACTGCAGATATAAGAGATTCCAGGGATTGGTTCAATTATTTCCAACAGCAAACAAATAAAAAATTGATAAAATGTTAGGCAATGGTATGAAATTGTGAGCCAACATACTTGGGCAATATCCTGGAAGGCGGATTAGGAATTCGCAATGAGAATAGTCCTCTGCTATCTGCCTCAGATTTTATGCAACTAATATTAATATATTTGAAATACATATGGAGAAAGTTAATGCAAGATCAATTCCCAGTTTAAAAGTTTTGCTCATGTTCATTTTATTCAAGAACTTGTCACCCCATCCATCTGATTAATTTATATGCTCTATCAAGGGAAGTGTTATAACCTGCCAAACTATTGAACGATGATGATAGCCAGCAGCCATGACATATTCCGCATAGATGAAGTCCCAGCTGATATTACGAACACATGCAATGAGGTTAATTATTCACAGTTCAATAATCAAAATTAACAGACACAAGAAGCTAATACTGAGCATTTGATTAACTTGCAGTCACAAAAGTTACCTGAAATTGGTCACACAAACAGAACGAATTCCAGCTTCTGCAGCCGCGCGACATGCGACTGGGACTACATCAGAGACCTTTTTTTTTTTATAATTAGCAACAGAAGACCAACCAAATAAATATATTCTATTGAAGGAAACTCTAAACAGAAAAAGATTTGCAAAATCATGTCGTTTCATTCTATTTGTTAGTTCATCACCATAAGTAAAGCAGTATTCCGCCGAACAGATTTCATAACAGAATAATTCTGAGGAAACATTATCTTTCATTTCTCTTTTCCGTTTTGCTGTTTATCAATAAGGGACGGACATTTTTTTTACCAGAAAACAAGGGAAAAAGCATTGAAATTTTTTAAAGTACCACTAAGTCGGCTTTGATGGAGTTTAGCCACTCTGTTTCCTTTTCCAAGATACTAGCACGGGGCTTGACGGCAGTTTCAGAGTACTGACATAGCATAATAGGAACAAGAAATCATAAGAGGGAAAAAATTAAAAACTAGAAGAATATGTAATAACGGCGCCAAATAAAAAAAGATATAAAACTGGAAGAATATGTGATAACCATGCAATGAAGAATGATGCTTCTGTACCTTCTCCAAAGATGCAAGGCGATCGACGGTCAATGCATCTGCCTGAACAGCTCCACAGTCCAAAAGCACCTAATTTTACATTTGGAAAATTGTTTAAAACAATAAAGAATTAGACTTAACAAATACAAATCTCGCAATCACAAAATTGATTCATCGAATATGCATTCGAAAGCATATACGAATATAGCTATCTTGATCCGCTTCCTTTCGTTTTATATAATACGTTTCATTCAGGTAACATTCGACAGATTTACGCAGTCAATGTGATGTCTTCCAAAACTATAATATCATACAGGTCTCCATTTTCGTGTTTGGAGTGACTTTAGATAGATCATACTGACCTTGCGAATGAAGAGCGAGGAGATTGAATATCAGAGGTGAACACAAAGTCAGGAGCGCCAGTGACCACGTGGACGTCATGCCCGGCAAGAATTAGATGCCGCACCACCTGCGGGTCCAGAGTGGAAAGTTAAAAAACCAGATCGCATGCAAGCCTCAGCAACACAACGAAGCAATATGTCTTAAACGGAGAATAAAAAAGTGAATCTCCCTTTTCAAAGAAGAATTCCATTGTCCAGAAGCGAAATTGCAAAACCAGAGGGGAAAAAACCCGAATTCCGGTAATGTGAAAGTCAAAAGGTGCCCATTGAGCTGAAAGTGACATGAAAACAGAAAAGGATGAAAGAATAAAAAATGAGACCTCGGCAACACGGGTGGCATGGCCAAAACCATGGCCGTAACATAGTAAGCGAAGACCAGTGCTTCCTGGAAGCCGAGACTGCATCACTTCTTGTTCGATCCTCATTGTCTCTCTTTGAAGCGAACTCTATCGAAGTCTGAAATCAACTCGAAGGAGGATGATTTGTTTTGTGGTGATCACGTAGAATAGGAAATTCGAAGTACACATTATATATATATGGGAGGAGGAGGAGGAGGAAAAGATTGCGATTCGGATGCCCAAAAATTGGATAGGGATGACGGGGCAACCCAGTTCCGTGTACAAAAAGATTCTGTTGGTACGAGCCTGGCTATGCACTATATTGAGCTAAACACGGGTGGATTGTTTCAGATTTTTCTCCCGTGTTTTATTTAGATCATTAGATGAGCTTAGATAGATAATTTTAGATTAAGATTGCATTGTTATTTTTATTTTATAATTTTGCTATAAAATGAATATAATATGATATAAAATGAACACGATTTTTACTTATGATATTCAAAACTAATTGTAATTTTATTGAAGACATATAACAAAAAGAATAAATTATCTCAAAATATTTTACATAAAATACAGTCAAAAAAAATGAAACGAATAGATTAAAGGATTTTCTTAAGATTGACGTTAAATAAAATATTGCAGCATCGCCCAACTTTATAGTCCATCTATGACCATTGTACCATAGCTTTCAATAATTGAGATATGTATACAGCTTTTTTATATATAAAAAAGGAAAAAAAAGGCTGAGATATAAAATAGAAGCAGTATTTCTATGCTCCTTTCTCATAGGAACATATTAAAAAAAACAGAGAGAGAGAATGGCAAATAAAAACTTTGTAAAAATATCAATGTTAAATTAAAAATTTTAACACTAAAAATTATGAAGGAATACTGAAATTTAGAATGTCAGTATTTAAATATTTTAATTTGACACTAATATTTTTACAAAATCTTATGTGTCGTTAAAAAAAAATCCTCGAAACTCTTTTATGTGATTGTAGATAACAAAAAAAAATTATCTTCTTCTTTATGATAGGAAACAAGTAGGGAAAAGGATCGTGAGCAAAATGAATAATCTCATAATTTTTTCCGTTTTATGCTTTACCTTTCCATTTTGATAGCGAACACTTATCATGTTCTACCGTAAAAAGAAATAAACATTTAAATCAAATTCATTTTTGCTTTTACTATATCATCGTATGTGCTAAAAAATGAATGAACATCTATTACGTTAAGGTAAGTTATGATTATTTTCTAAACACGAATAATAAAAAATTATTAACGGAAACGAATAATTGACAATCAATAAATTACCAGTTAACATTAACAATTATAACAATTAAAAATTTAAAATTTTAGTAAAAATAACCAATTGGCGCCAATTCATTTAAGATGGACTAATGGTGGATATTGTTGATTCGTAGATCAACATTGCGACAACCCACAACAAGGCAACCATAGATTCGTGGGCTGTCATAGTGCGGCCCAAAAAAAACAAGGAAACAGGGCTTTCTCCTTCCCTGGTCGTCTTCTTGCTCTATATAAGGACAACCTGTGCTGAATCTGATCAACTAAGCTAGGGTTAGGGTTTGAGTCGAGAGGTGTACTGGTCAGCCGATAGGTCTTGCTAGTTTTCACTGATAAGACTAGCGATTCGATGGATGAGGGGCTGAAGTTTGGCTCTTTGGCTGATAAATGCCGTGCCTTAGGGATGAATGCAGCACCCTTAACAAATTCATCAATTTTCCCCCAACTGCTCGTAAATTGAATACTTTTGCTCTTCAGACTTGCTGAGATTATCTCTGAAGCTGGTCTAGTAAGCTCAAGAAACATGCTTGATAATCCTTCCCTTGTTAAATATTAATTTTCTTTTGATTTTGAAGCGCATGTCATGTTCAAAAGGATTGAGAACTGGTTAATTTCTCTACCCTCCATTTTTTGTTGAATAGTAATTTATCAAAAAATAAAAAAAAATTGCTTTCCAGCACGATTGATATGATACAAAAGAAAAAAATCTACGAAATGGCGATTGGGCCAATGAAAAACGAACTGTTATGTTAATTTACTCTTAAGGATTTGAATTTGTATCCATGTATAATCCCAAACATCATTCGGAGACTCGAAGACAGTTACTGAACAAGAAAGCCCTAGTATGGAGCTGTTTATTCTAGTAATTTCAATGTTTTTGAATGATTTTTGAGACATTTGTGAAAAAGTAAGAAAATATAACTTTTGTAAAAGTACATCTGAAATAGAAAAAAAAAGGAAACTAAAAAATACATACATATATATATATATACCTATAAATATCACATCTGAAATAGAAACAAAAGGGTACTAAATATGTATATGTATTCTATATTATATCGGAGGCAAGCATATTTACAAGGTTTAATTGATACGCATCTTATACCTTTTAGCAATGATCATTGATAGAATAGTGATCCGGTCATTGAACGGACGAGACACTAGTTCACGGTTCATTAATCGAAATGGGGTCAAACCAGTTGATATTAAATTAATATATTTTTAATTTATGTATTATAATTAAATAAAAAATACATTTAAATATATATTTTTTTCAAAAATATACTATAGACGCTTGATAATATAATTTTTTATTGATAAATACATAATTAATATTAATTATAATTGAAGCTTTTCATTTAAATATCAAGAAAGATGTAATTTAATTTTAATTTTAATTTATTTTTTTAAAATTTTCCCAATTTTTTCATGAGAATCAGTCCGGTTTTTGTCCGATTTTATCAGTTTTTGATCGGTTCTCTGCTGACTGGTTTTTAAGGGTCAATCGAACCGGACCAGGAGCCGGTTCCCGGTTCAATCGGTTGAACCGGCCGGTTTGATCCGGTTTTTAAACCCTGTTTAAAACCACATATTAGTTGGCTAAAATCGAACATAAGATCTGGCTAAGAAAATTGTTAATATCATTAAAAAAAACAAGACTAACGTACTCGTTGAACTGTAGAATTATCCGCCCTTGGAAGTTCGAACAACATATTCTTCCGTCGTGTGTAGTTTGTACACATGGTATGGCAGCAAATAGATATACAGAATTCGGTTTCAGCAAATTCCCCAAACTCCCAAGTCCTAAGCTCTCTAGCTGATCTATGATAAAAGATGAAAGCACAAGTGTCGAAATTTTTGGAATGTCTAAAACTTATGTGGCAGAAACCTCATGTTAAGACATCTGCTACTGCTAATTAAACAGTTATCCAAAACTCTTGCCTACGTTATGTACAACACAAGTGCCGATGGACGGCTGGTTAGTATATGTGACGCTGTCATGAGAATATCAAAACATGAGCTCAGGACTATGACCAACTCATTGAAGCGAAAGTGTTCTGCGAGAAACGAATCATCATATGGTGTTGTTGCTGGCAGGGGGGCATAACCACAACTGCTTCCACCTTTTCACCAATGTCCATCTCTATTGACTGCGACTGACAAAGGATTCATCCATGTCCATCATTTCACCTTCACCTTCTGCTTCAAAAGGTTAACAAGCAGCTGAAGCTCTTTCTTCGCACACCACTGGCCAATGGGATGTAACGCACGGGACAACCGCCAGCCTGTCTCTTTACCCTTCAGAGCTCTTACCCTTGCTCGTTCCATCTTCGTCGGATTTTTCTAACTTTGCAATACCCACGATGATAGGTAATCTAGAAATGGTGTAAACAATGGTAAAGATATTTTCAAGCAAATTCAAAACACCTATAGCTTCTAATTTATGCCGAGTAGTTTATGCTATACCCCAATTATCATGTATTCTAACTTTGAATCATTATGAGCAGCCTCATTTCATTCTGTAAAAGTAACAGCATGAATAAATCAGTTGTAACTTTAGAATCATTATAATCTCAATTTTTATAGTGGAATCCTTAGAAATTTCACCGAACTTGTGAAATAATTTCATTGAACTTGTGAAATATCATATATATCACTGAAAGATAGGGATCCATTCTGCATCTAATGGTGAACCTTGCTCTAATGAGTTCCCAACAACGCTTTTCATAGAAAAGTTTCTACGGAAAATGCTGTTGGATACTCATTAGATTTAGTTACAGCAGAACTTCATGTTACTGTAGATTTCAGGAGTAGGTATCATCAACGGCTTCTCGTTACTGGACTTTATTTTCTTAGAGATGTAAAATTTCTGAAGGAGTAAATCTCATTCTACAATTGTCATGCTCTTTAAATTCCAAGACTCCAGATGACTCAGCTGGACTCCAATCACATTATCCATCCAAAAAGTTCTACTAGTCAAGCTAGAACGAGTTGAAACAGAAATAGCAAAAGATCGCGAATACCATAATGTTCATCTGATATAACTCATTTATCACATCAGAGGATGTTATAAATATCATTAGTCTTTGACAGGTATATATTTAAAGCCTACGGATTCCTTTTAATGAAGAGAATTTCAAGTAGTTTACCTTAAGAACAAAGGTTAGCATCCCTCTGAGCAAGTTGACAAACTAGGAAAATTAAACATGGGCTTCTAGAAGAGATGGCGTCAAGCCAAAAACTCACAAGAAAAGTGAAACGAACATGTTATTATACTTGATCCTCTCGGTGAACACAGAATTTATGATATGGACCAATTGAAGACTACAGGTTCACTCCAAGACTGAGAAACTGATAGAAACGAGCAAGAGCTTTAAAGAATCTTATTGTAATGAAGATAAATTTGGATTTTAATTGGCCTTGAATAGCGCATGTATTATGCAATCAGACTTCTGGAGTTTATACAGATTAAATCTTGGGATTTGGTTTCTCACTTACTTAAGATCCATCTCATCTCATGCACTTGCCCAGATATTAATGTCTCTCGACTGGAACTAAGATATTACGATCCAAAATATTACTGCTGATGAGCAACATAAACCACTTGAAAGCAGCGAGCTACTTTTGACCATCAATAATAAATTATTGCTAATGGGAGGGGGAAATCACAATCCTTAGATACAAAAGCAAATGAGAACAGCAGAAATTAGGTTCAATCCAAAAGCTTTAAGGAACTCTAACTTAGAATCTGCATAGTTACCCTTTAAGCCAGGAATCAAGTCAGATTGCACAACTATTGGGAATTTATGAGGGCTCGGATATTTGACAAAAGGGATTTTAGTTGGATCATAGAGCATAAGGGCTCTCTCTTCCGTCGCATTACAAATTGGCAGTGTTTCAACTGATACTACATCTGTAAGCGGCATGGCAGTGTTAGTCCATGGTAGTTCTTGTGATAGCCGTCGTTCAACAAAATGGGGAACGTTAACGTCTGGGTCTTCATCCATGACCGAAACAAACCCAGCATCCTCACATGTAGCCAAAATAACAAGGATAGAAAAACGGTATACTATGCAATTTCAACAATACGCATCAAGCTACGAACGCGAACTAGTAGCAAGCAATCCAGATTTCATAGTTTCAGACTAATAAACAGAAATAAAATCGCAGAGTGGAAATTTTGCGGAAGAAAGGTACCAGCCTCCGGAATTTTCTTTACGGATTGGAGAGGCGAGCTGGAGAGCAGTTGTCGGAAAACTCATCGAGGTCCTTGTGACCAGCGGAATTGTAGCTTATTATTATTATGTTTTTTTTAACCCAGTTGCGGAATTAATGTGCCATCCTTTCGCGCATGCGCGTGAAACGTAACACAACTGATAACCCCGGGCCCCGCTCACACGCGCCAGATTGTCTTGTTCCTGAGTACTGAGCAGCGCCTAAACAAAAGCATAAAACATGGCTTAAAGACTGACCAAAAAAAAACTTAAATAAAAATTAATTATTTAGTTCATTAACTTTGATTTAATTATAATTTATTTTTTAAATTTTAACTCATTAGGATTCAATCATTAAAATTTTAATTTAATTATAATTTAATTTTTAAATCTTGCATCTTACAAAGTTCTTATAATTTTAATTATTTAAATATTAATCTTTATATTTTAAAAAATAAAATTAAAAAATATTTTAAATTTTTAATATTTATAAATATTAACCCAATTTAGTAATTTAAAATATTATTAATAAATTTTAATATAATTTTATTTTTTAAAATATAAGGGTCAATATTTAGATGATTAAAAATATAAGAATTAAGTTATAAAAAAAATTAAAGATTGTGTTACAATCAAATCAAAACTTTAAAAAATAAATTATAACAAATTAAAATTTAAAAAATAAATTATAATTGAGTTCAAATTATAAGAATCAAGTGATTAATTTTTTTAAAAAAAATACTTATTTAAGATTGAAAAATATATATTTTTTAAATAATTTTGAGATCTCATAAAAGGACATCTATTTTATAAATATTTTATAAAAAATGAATATGATTTCATGTTTAGTTATAATAATAAAAAATTATTATTACTTAGTTGTTTTTAGATTTTTTGATTTTTTTGTGATCTCCATTTGTAAAAAATAATTAGGAAAGCACAATCCCCTATAGTTATAATAAAAATTGGTGATGTTTGTTTTTCATATCAGTAATGATAATAAATTATAAGAATTAGGATTGAAAATATTAAAAAATTATAAGAATAAAAAATAAAACTAGATAAAAATTATAGGAACCAATAATTTTATATTTTTAAAAATAAATTATTATTTAATTATTTTAAAATGTGATAATATCTCAATGTATCTTGCATGTTTATGACATTCTTTCTTACGTACCACACATATTATTTTTATGAATTATTTAAAATAATTTTTTAAAATAATAAAAAGTTTTTTAATTCTCATTTTCTTCTAAAATTTAAACAAACATTCTAAAATTTTATAAAATAATTTTTTTAAAAATAATTTTTTTATTAAAAAGCTTAAAATAAACAAGACCATTACAGCATTAAAAAAACAATAATAAGAAAGAAGTAAGGATACATTCACTGTTCGACCAAACAAAAAAAAAATAAAAAGAAAGAATCCGCTGTCCAGAAGTCGTTGAGTCCATGATGTTGATGCGGGAGAGAGAGGCAGAAGGATCTTGGCGTTTAAATATTTATTACTTATATTTTCTATAAAATTGCAGGGAGATTTTTTTTTTTTTTTTGAGTGACAAACAGCAAGCCGAAACTTGAGAATTTAGAAAAATTACACAAAAGTTAAGTCCACAGCATATTATGCAGTACAAATATTTAAAACAGATTCATGGAAGAGGATATCAGTATCCCCGTAATGAACATTCCTGAGTGAGAATTTCGTCTATGGTTCCAAAGGAAGAAAAAAACATGCTGAAATTATTTTGCAGGCCTGAAGGAATTTTTTGCAAATATATTTTTGAAAAAAGGGACACAATTGCCTTTAATGAGAAAAGATAATAAATAAAAGTTCATATTTTTATAACCACATGTTTATAAATTCATAACTTTAAATTTACATATTAATAAGTAATTATTCGTTGAAAGTAAAATCTTTATTTAGGATTGACATGTTCATCTTAATCAATTTAATAAATTTATAATTTAAAATTTAAATATTCATAAGTATAGGTTCATCTATTCAAAATTTAAAATTCAAAATTTATAACTTTATGTATTAAGAACTAAGGTTCATCATGATAACAAGTTTAAATTTTTATAATTACATTTTCACCAATTCACAACGTTAGATTTACATAAGTAATTGCTCTTGTTCAAAGTTGACAAGTTTGTCTTAACCAAGTTAATAAATTTACAATTTAAAGTTTAAATATTTGCAAGTACATGTTCATCTACTCGCAAGTCAAATTACATAATTCATGATTTCATATACTTAGAACTAAAGTTTATCATGATAGCAGGTTCAAATTTTTGCAGTTAGATGTTCACAAATTCACAATTTCAAGTTCATATATTAACAAATAATTGTTCATTGATAGTGACTATAAAGTTTTTTCTTTTTTACTACGGGCAATTCTATATTTTGTCCTTAAAACATATTTGCAAAAAGAGCCCTTAAATGTGCAAAATAATTTCAGAATGAATTAGATTCTTAGTGTTATTTTTTTCTCCCTTGAAAACTCTAGATAAGATTGTCCCAAAAATTATAGGGAAAATGGAAAGTAATGACCTTATAAAAATGTAAACATCAAATTAAAAATTTTAATATTGAAAATGATAGAAGAAGTAATGAAATTTGATAACGTCAATGTTTATAATTCCAAAATTATGTGTTGGTAGTTTATAATAGAAAAAGGTGTCACATTGTTTTATATTTATAAGTTTAAATAGTTTCTAAAAATTTATATAATTATTTTTTAAAAACTACTGTAAAATTTTGAAACAGCTTGCTACATGTTCTAGGCAGAGCTTATTAGATATAAAATAAGGCTAACAATAAAATAAAGCTAAAAAAGCATTGTTGCGCAGGATGGTGATAAAACAAATAATATTTAACACTAAATGTTACATGAGAGGGAAGTTGTAGAACAAGAATAAGATAAGCAAAGTTTCAACATCTGCAGGTGCAACTAAAATTTAAATTTAGTGATTGTACTTAATTCGGACATTGAGTTATATTATTTAAACCATTAAAATATAAATCAACGGTTGAGATAAATTTACTCATTTAATAATCTTAAGTAAAATATGAATTCATAAATATTAATTTAAATTTTAATAATTTAAACAGTACAAACATCAATGCTTGTATAAAGTATAGTCACCAAACCAAAATCTGGTGCAACCAAGTTCAGCAAGATAAGCTTAATTTGAATATTCTCTGGAGGCGGGGGACTGATATGTTTTTAGGTTGTTTTTTTTTTCCCGGCCTTTTTCTCAGGAAGCAAAAACGAATGAGTGCGTTTGGTCAGTGGTGAGTGAGACGGAAAGGACTACTGCTGTGATCTCTTAATTGTTCTTCCTTGCTTCAGCCTGCCGAGATTGTGGTAAGTTAAAAATTTGTTTCGTATTCCTATCCTCGTCTCGAATGTGAAATCAAGTTACTTTATTTAGATTCTTAGCCAGTTAAAATGTTTGGCCGACCATGCATTCGCAGGTCCGCAACAACATACGTAGGTTGTTGCATTACGTGGTCCAAATTTTCAAATCCCTATTGCAAGTACTCTCCAGCGACCGACCTTCCTTAAAAGCAGCTTTTCCTTAACGCCATCCCCAAAGCATATTGCACCAACGGCCTCCTTCGTCCTTCGCTCTCCTTTGGCAAAATTCCATATTTTCATTCACATTTTATAATATCGTCATGTATCACCTCTTTCTGGGTGCGCTATCAACGGTCACTTTTATCTACTTTTATACTTTTGGCGTAATCCATCCACCATCCACTTTTCGCTTCCTTTACAGGTCAAAATAGTCGATGCAAACATACAAATGGAACAAACAAACGAATAATAAATTAATATTAATAATAACAATAACAGTGGTCAAATAAAAAAAAAACTGCCGCCCATGACATCCTTACATAACCTGGTCAGCAAATGAGGGAAGCCGCCGGAAAAAGTTCACCGGAACCGATGGCATATCACCTCTAAAGCGTGGGTGTCGCAGGTAATAAAACCCGGCCCCTAAAACAAATCCCTTGAACGGCACCACATAGAACACCAGCGAAGCCATTAAACAAAACACCACAAATATCCCCGTTGCTCTTGGGTCTCGCCAATTAAACAGTGCTTCCAAACGCTCCCCTTGTGCCGCCACGTCACCCATTAATATCTGTGCCCGACCCGCCAATGCCCTCAGCCTATCGTACCGGATCCGAACCTGCTCCGCAGATCTCGTGCTGGGGAAACCATCGAACTCTTCGTCAAGCTCGTCCAGGCTCACTCCGTCCACGTAGGATATCCTAAGGTCCATGTTCTGGGGGACCCTCCGTCGATTACGGAATCTGAACACCAATACCAAGAAGGCATACATGAATACGGTGGGAAGCACCAGATTGGGGCACAGCACGATTGCCAACAACAACGAGTGCACTAGAATTGTGGTTGGAGGGTGCACCCACGTGCGAATCCCATCAAGCCACCGGGCCATCGTCGCCACACGAGACAAACAACCCACAACCCGAAACCAGTTAGCCTTGCTCCTTCTCATGCTCCACACGTGGGTGTCCGAGTCCAACATAAATTGAACCACTTCTTGACCCAAAGGTGGTTCGGATCGCGCGAGCCGAGCGGTAACAATACGCATAGCCATGTGGCGCAGGATATCCTGTTGAGCGGGGCCGAGTGGCTTCACATAATGCATCCTTGGAAGAATTGGGCTTGCATAAGCTTGCATTAGGCTTAACCACGAGGAACATGAAAACCTTACCGCGATCTCTATCTCTCCCATTTTCTTGGCGCCACTTGGTAAGATTACAACGAGGGAGTAACTATTCATGTACACTCGGTTTGTGTCCAGTGTGGATAGTCGTATTCGGATTTTTCCAATTCGCACGTCTTTGTTGGCCTTCCCCGCTTCGTCATGCTTGTACCTTCCATTGTCGAACACGCCTATTGTGAGCACTGTGCAAGGGTCGTACACATCCCAGGCGTATTGCTCGTTCCATCGTGGATTGAACCTGTCCAAGATGGTGCGAGTTCGGACCCACTTGGGCCCATATTTGGCTACCACGTAGGCGTCGGTGGTGCCCCGAGTTCCGTCTTTCGTCTTTACGGGCAGCAAATTAGTGGCCCCGCGAATCCCAACCTCGAGCGAGCCTATAGGAGCCTTAACCAGTTGCTTGGCAGCGGCTCGAACATCGCTGGTCACGTGAGCTGCCTCGTCTATCACGTGATACCCTCCTTCCAAGCACACTCGAACGTGGATTCTTCCAGCGTAAGGGCGGCTTTCGTCCCCAACCAAATTAAACCATCTTGATTTTGGCCCGTTAGATCATCTGTTCGCCTCTCGATGGACGACACGTGTATTTTCACTTGGCCCACTGTCTGGGAATGAGACGCATCCTCCACGGTCACCAGCAGAAATGGCTCAAAGGGTTCAGCGGCCACAAATATGAGGTCCTCATTCCAGGTTGGATTAGCTGAGCTGGATGATGACGGGCCCACCGATGTCTTTCCTGTCTTGAACACTTGTGCACCCAACTGAGCCTTCACGTAAAGCTCTGGGTTTCGCCGTCCCTTAGGCTCGGATGCCGAACCTCTTTGCAAATCCTGGGTCTGGATGACCGTTAGCCTCAAATACCAAAGCTTTGGAGACAAGTAAACCTTAGACCGGGTCTCTGGTATCAACCCGCCCGAATCTGACTGCCACGCTTCCTGGAACGCCTCATCTGCCTGGGTTCCAATCCACACGGCCAGCATGACGTCATTTCCAGGGGAATTTTCTGATTCCAGAGTGTACCACTGTGGAGCCAGAGGACTATCCGGGGGTACTCTCTTTGGAACTTCCTGCAAATCAAAGGAGACAGTTCCCAAACAACTTTCTGTCTTCTGATTATCTTCTTTCTTCTCCTCCGACCATACAGACACTTCCAACGACGTTGAATTAAGACCTTCTTTGTCAAACGCAAACACTTGATCCCAGTCTTTGTCAGCTTCACTTCTGGTCTTGATACTGTGTGTTGCAATCAAGAGCTTAGCATACACCGATGATCCAGACCCTGGTTTGGCTAGTTTGGCCTTTAAGACCCGTACATAGAGAAATGGCATTCGATCCACGAGATCGTAAGTGCTACGGCTTCGATCGCTGCTCAGAGATCGAAGTTCAATGTCGTTTACGCCTAGACCAGGAAGCTTTTGCATCTCCCCTTGCTTCCCAGTCCGCTGTTGCTTCTTCGGCTTCTCCGTATGAGCTATCGGCGGGTCCACCTCAGGCGGTGGCGGGACTGGAGATGACTCAGCTGGAGCTTCCTCTGGTTTCGCTTGATCAGGTTCTTGTGGCTTTGGCTTTTCCTCTTCTTTAGGTTCTTCTTTGGCTGCCGGCTTCTCATCTTCTTTCTTTTCCTCTTCTTTTGTCTCTTCGGCTTTATCTTCCTTCTTCTCTTCCTCTTTCGCGGCATTCTCCGGTGGCTTTTCCTCACTAACTTCAGTCTTTTGCTCTGTGGCGGCGGCATCGGCAGCTGGCGGATCTTCATCAATATAATAAACCTTGACCCCAAGCTCGCCTTTTATCTGAGAGAAGACGCTTCTCTTCTCCAGAGGATAATACACAAGCGCTTCAGAACCGGACTTCACAAAAGTGCCTCCTGATATTTTAACCTTGCCCAGGAAAGTGCTTCGTTTCCCTGATTTTTTGTCGTTGTACAGATTGATCTCTAAGATTTCGGAAGCCATGGCCTCGGTGTCGTGAACACTAAACTCGAGCCTCTCGTCCCACTGGGGATTCAGATCTCTGGACTTGGTCTTGGTTCGCCGTCTCTGGCCGTCGAAATCCACAATTGCGTATGCGCTTGCGGTTCCTTGGCCATCTTTTGGCATCAGATTCTTGGCATTGCAGACCTCTACGACGAGTTTTCTGCCAGAGGTCTCCGCCATTGATGTGATAAACTTTTAGCTTCTGAATAATGATCTTACGAGGGATAGAGAATGATAGCAAAGAGAACCCGAGGAGTGGTGCTGTATGATAAAGGAAAGATGTAAGAGAGAATCCAATGAGACGAGTAGTGTTTTGAGCGAACGTATACGTTAGTGGGAGGCTAGTTTGATTTTTGGTTCGAGTGGGGAAAGTGTTTGTGGGCTTGATTCTTAAAGGAAAGAGACGGAAGCAAGAGTAGTAGATGGTTTTCAAAAGGGAAAGGGCGGAGCGTGGGGCTAGTCAGCTCAGACACGTAAGACAAGAGCTGCCACGTGGAAAATTTAGGGATGCGATTTCATTTTTTAATGGACACCATGTGTTAACTGCAAGCGAGTCAGTCAGCTGAACACCGTGCCTGGTGGCAGCCAAAAAAATAACAGAAAGGAAAAGAACAGAACAGAGGGATGAGAGGCGAGAAATGAAATGACGAAGGACCTCAAATAATATAGATGATCATGAAATTCAGCTCCGTGACATGCAAATCACAATGAAGATACTGATGCGAATAAATTAACATGGACTGGACAGAGATTCTCATGAAATTCAATTTATTGCCGAACGACCTTATTCTTTTTGGTGCTGCAGTTGCTTGCCCGTGTTCTTTATTAAAGAAAAATGATGACAGAGAACCACTTGCAGGCATCTGCAGAAATGAACGTTGCTTTGTTTGTCTCTCTGTATATGGTAGTCTTTATCCTTAAGGCAGAATAGTAGTAGTTGGGAGCTCATTAAAATGCTTACAAGTGTGGTGTAGTAATAAAGACGACGCTCGTGTTTTAGTTATGGAAATGAACGTATACGTACGGCGCTGACACAAAGTAGAGTAATGTTTAAATTGGGAGATAAGGCCTCACGCGTGTCCATAAGGATTAGTTAAATATTCTGCGATCAACCAACTATTGCGGCCATAAAATATGTACCAAGCAATTGGAAGCTGAAGGATATAAAGAGGCCAATCTGCCTTTTGGCTACTGTGTGTAAATCAGCAGTAGTAGCAACTAGCAACGGTAATTAGCTTTGCAAGGTAACAGTGAGCTTGGGTTCTGTACTTCTGCTTGGACTTGTTCTGCCGTGTCTGCTTCTCGATAGATTATGGCGTGCACTAGAAAACTAGAATAATTGGGTTTTGAAGTACCTTTTCCAACCCACCAAATTTTTAACTTCGGTTGACAGATCATTTCAACGTAGATTGAAATGAGTTTGGAAGTTTGGACTTAAGATCATCACTGGCTGAAGTTTTGGATATTTGAGAGGCCACTGGCAAGTCCAATTGAAAGGCCATAGAGGGTCATGGACTGATTTTTAGGCCCACTTCACCTTGACCTTGATTCTCTCTTCTGCTATATGGGCTTTGTACGCTAGAAATTACACACCTCTTGGTCTCGTCTCATCCTCTCAAGATTTGGCTCTTATAATACTAGAGCATGCACATGTTTTTAAATCTGACTGTTGCTGCTTCCAAGTATTGTGAATTCGGTTTATGCAGAGCTGATAACGCATGTACCCTGGGACAGATGCCATATGGGTGCTTGTGCTTTAAATTGGAACTGAAGGCACTTCTTTTCTACCGTATCCTGTATGTATTCTGCAACATCTATAAAATTTTAAATTTTGATTCCACTATCAATGAACAGTTCCTTGATAAACTCAAAAAAAGGCCGAAAGAAACTGGCTTTGCCGCTACATTCACGAACTTAGAATATCTATCATGTGATTGATTTTTTTTTAAAAAAAAAAAAACTCGTGGTTCATTTCAGTGAAGAGGTGTGTTCTAGAGTTGAAACAAGATTCCATGTTCTGCAGTTGCTTTCGGTTTAAGTTTATAAAAAAATTATATGCCACAGATAACGAGGGTTAATTTCTAATGATTCATTCATGTTGACGTGTACACTTGTTATTCAAGTCCTGAAATGAATGCTTGCACGTGAGCTGCATAATAGACGTTTGAGAATATGCCACCGAGAAATTTTAAGATGAACATGACTTGAAGACAGGGGACCGTATATAAAAATTGCTAAACCACAACATCGAAATATGTGGTTGCCTTGTGTTCAAGATATTGACTGGTCTTGCTTATGGTAATCTTTAACAAATTTTCTTGAGAATGGTTCGTGAGGGACTTCAATTATCTACGGAAAATTAATGACAGTATTGTGGATTGCTCGTATATGGTAGTATCCAACTGTCGCCTTGCAAACCTCTATCGTGAGCATTCTGAGAGCTCTCCAAAATTCAACTTCACATTTATGACTGATCACAGTGAGGCTGATCTGATGATGCTCATCTTTAGCCCAAGAAAGGAGCGTCCCCCGAGAATAGAGGGAGGTGGTGGGAGGGGTGAGTCTTTGTACGTCCCTACACTTAAATGGACCGTACTTGTGACAACTTGTCCATGTGAACTGAGAAACTCTTCACTTTTTTCCCCATGTATTTTGAAGTATGAACTTCAGCGTAAGTATCGTATTTATTTCTGTTTTGGAACTACGCATGGCTCTACCCCTTTTACCAATTTTTTTTTTGGTTGGTTCTTTTCTATTTATGAATATCTTTCAATATCTTCTTCTCTTTTGTAGTGATATGCTTCTGTGAAGCTCTGTACTAGTCATTTAAACTCATCACTGACCCCAATACATGCTCTGCTCTTGGCGTTTGACCTTTACTCAAAGATTTGAACCAATTGCACTGAATTGAATGCATAGTGATCAGGTTATACACACACACAATTATACACAAATGTAATTAATATTGAATATTGACTCTGTTCCAAGGTGACAGAAAACCCATGGCCCTTCAAGTGATGATGTAGACACTTCGGTGAGGGAAGTTCCCGAAAACTTTATGTTTACAGCCCGGCACGATCACTAGTGTCGTACTGGACGAAACATCATATTCGTTCGGTGATGTGAACTGTTCCTGATAAGCAGAGGCTATGATTTCAACATCATAACATAGTGCAAATAGCTTCAGCCTTGGAATGATAGATTCAGATATCAAAGGTGATAGATATGCTTCATAAGTCTCAGGGACTGAAAACAATTCATGTGCACTGGAATATGAAAATAGATTTAGACAATAGAAGATCTATTCATAAATCCCCAAATAGGTTGTCTTATATCATCTAAATTCCTCTTCCCTAGCCTTACAATCTCATACATTGATTGGCCTCCATGGGGAGAAAAAGGAGAAGGGGGGAAAAACATAACAGTAAGCCTTTAAAAATCCTGGACTATCTGCACATTGGACTCTGGGGATGATGAGAGTAAGCAAGCTGGTTTTCTATTGAGCAGTGTCCCAATATTTCTTCAACTTTAAGTCTGCATTCCTGAGTGCTAAACTTGTCCTTCTTTCCCTGCACCATCTTCAAGATACTCTCAAAAACGGGCACTTCACAGGGGATTCTCAGAACACCAGTCTGCTGAAACCCGAATTCTTCTTCTGCTTCTCTCAGTAACAGGTGAAATGCCTGATGGCTCAGATATTCAGTAGGTATGATAAACCTCTTCATCTCTTCCCCAACGCAAACAGCGAGATAGCCTTTAGGAACAACATTGGTTGATCCCCCTTCCCTTTCAGATATAGAAAGCGTCCTCTTCAGAAACTTGATGCTTTTACTGCTGCTGGTGCTGCTAGTGCCGGTGCCGAAGCCAGTGCCGTTACTGCCACTGGTTTTTGAAGAGTTGGCTAGCTTTCTCCATTTCTTAAGGATCTGTTGAAGCCTGACAATATCTCTGATCTTGTTAGATTTCTTTGGATCCATGGAAATGGTATGGTGTCTCTCTCGCCGGGGTTGAGTAGCTTGGCACTTTGATCTCTCCTACCTTGGATATCTTTCCCTGGCTGCATGGGGTAGATTGGTGTATGCTTCCAATTTATAGAAGTCGGAGACCTTGTGGATTCTAAAACTTGTAAACCTTCTTGTCTCGTCTTTTCTTTTCTTTCTATTTCTATTTTTCTTTTCAGGAGAGGAAGATTGTAAAAGCATTTGTATTTTCTATCACATGGGGAAGCCAACAAGAGAAGTTTTCTTGGTTAGGACGAGTAGTTAGAGTTAGAGTTGACGTCTTCCAGGTTTCACATGGGAGTGATTGTGGCAACTCTGAACTCTCTCCCTCTCATGGTTTCTGGTTTTGATGGTTGAAATCTATGTGTGCTTGGTTTTATTCTAATCAGGTATGACTAGGAGTGAGATTCTCTGAGTTAATTACCAGTTTTATAAGCAGATTTAGCCTTTAGGTCGTTTAAAGTCAGTGCTGGGTTCTGGCAGCTCTGGTTTCCCAGGCAAAACTACCCTGACAGTCAAAGCCTAGGTACCCTCTTACGTACAATACAATTGTACCATACTACCGTTCATACCTCGAGCTTATTTTATTACTTTTAAAAAAAAAAACAAGACAATAAACTTGGGATATATTTCTAATTTTAACTATATGTTGATGATCTGAGAAAGTTGTTTTAGAATTTCCAGGAGATCCATGTGAGGTAGCATCAAAAGACGCAGACAGGGACGGACGCTGAAATTTTAATTCCCCGGAATTGAGCTGGAATTTCGTGCACTATTGTGAATATAAAGCCATTCAATTCAATGTATTCCAGAGCAGAAGGAAAAGTAAAAACTAAAAAAGAAAGGAAAAAAAGAGACTTTTCCTGTTAAGAGAGAGTTTCCTTGTAAAGATGGCCGGGTACATTGAGTCTAACTTGTCTAAGTAAATAAACGTATAATAAGAACATTGGGAAAAGTAATGAGTCATCTATTCATTCATTAAGTCACCCAAGATATTTCATTGTGAAATGTGAATTCTGGAAGCATGTGTGCCTCAAATTGAATATGCGTAATCAGTGATCTTTTGGTCTATTGGTATTCATCCTTATGATCTTACCTCTTCAATCTCTAATTAAAGGATCAAACCTTCATGTATTCAAAGGAAGAAAATTTGTGTGCCGGGAATTGTTGCGTGGTGTGTTAACACGTGCACGTATAATTCTCTTTCTTATGATAAATTGTTAGATAGAATATTTAAAAAATAAATATGTATACTTTCGGGTCAAAGAACACGGTGACATTATTTACAATGTGTGTGAAGATTGCAAGATTTGTCCTCGTAAGAACTAATCCAACTATTTGTCATGTCTGATTAGAATACGATGGTAAACTAGGAAGACAGGAAGCCCAATGGTGTGGTTGCATGCGGACTATGTAAATGGGACATTTGACTTGCCTCCATACTTTGAATGATGATTGGAAAATAATGGAAGGTGCTCCTAACATGATCCGCACTCCATTGCACCCACTTGAGAGAGAATCCGCCGTGGATTTTGATTTTTAAAATAGCCGCTAATCATATTTTTCTTTGGTGTGGTGGCGGGTGCTTAAGTTACTGACATAATTTGATGAAATGTTCCTCGATCCACAACCAAATTATTAAAATTCAAAGTTCACACTATAAAGAGTCTAATGTCCAGAAAATTTAAAGATTAGTCCTAACTTTTGAGTTGAACTAGGAAGAGATTATATTGAAAAATATAGGTTAAGCACAATAGATGAATATTCATTCATACACACACCACTAGTAGTCTCGGGATCGGAGGTGAAAGAGGCTTAGTTGAAGAACACCAAGTACTTACAGTACCTGTTCTTTTCAAGGTAAGAAGGGCTACGGGAAAAAAAAAAAAGCCTCGAGACAATGTTTAAAAGAATTATATGTTGAGTACCGAAAAGGTACGGGTAAATAAACTTGATTAGATAAATATGCATAAAATTGGTTAGTATATTTTTTGCAGTTTACATAATCTCTATCGATTTGAAGGTGCGTGGTCTCTAGTTGTGAACAGTAACGAACTTCAATCACATTCTTTAATCCCTGGATATATTCACACATGTTAACAGGGTTTGGTGAAATGTGTATCGTTGAGTACTGATTAGCATGGATTATTAAACTCTTGATATATTCATTTACCACTTTTCTACTCCCTCTACGATGCTTGAAGAGAAATTAAACTAGGCTATATATAGTAGCTAAATAACACCGTTAATACGAGAATATTAAGACGCTACAATTACATCATGCATGTGTCCTGTTTTCTTTGTGATCTAAGTAGCGCGCCAAGGAACATCTTTATTTTCTAATTTAGTAAAACCCCTATAATCCAAGACTTTTTTTTTTTTAGTGAAATTTAAACTTATCTGCTTCTGCTTTTTTTTTTTTTCCTGCTGGTTTCTCTGTGTTTAGCGATTACCTAATAAAAAATTATCATTATAAAACAAAATTGCAAGATTCTCTCTGGCATTAATTAATTATCTCTCGATTAATGGACAGCTATGACACGGATTTTTTTTTTTTAAAGGAATTGAACCACTCTCTCTCTTTTTTTCTTCCGAAACAATCATTGCCGAGCCACCTGATTGATTCTATGACCTGTAATTCCCTTCATTGCAATTGTCGTCATCGAAAAGCCGGTCGTGTTAATTTTTATTGTTAAGGGACTGTATTTTACAACCAAAAAAAAAAAAAGTGTACGACTAGTCTAGTAGAGTGCTTACACCATCAGATTTTCCTCAATTAGCACTCCGGTGTTTATTTTAAACTCGTATTAGTGTGAGTTTATACTTTATAGAGTATAATCAAGGAATTATCAAATTATTTATATTTTTATAAATAATTTGGTTTATTAGAATTTGTATGCTATGCAGTATATTTGGCGTAAAATGAAAAAGATTCTACTCGGTGCATTATTTTTTATTTAGTTGAATTATTCTGCCAGCTAACCAGGGAATTAATTATTTTTGGTAATTATTGAGTTAGTACGTACATGAACTTTTTGGTGAGAGCAAGGGGGCACGTCACAGTCCAAATGTCTCATTTCTAGCTTGCTAGGCTTCAGTCTTCACGCTCTTATTTAATTTTTAATTTTGAATTTCAACCACACTCTGTTAGCTTCAATTTCCTTACCAAATCATGAGTCAACCTTGATGTCTCGTTTTGCTAGATCAATCGTTTACTTCCTGAAAGACTTGTTTGCTACCTGAAATATTTTGCGAGAATAAAATGAGAACCGGACTAATAATTGATAGAATGGTACAAGCATGCTTGGTATGCATGTCTCTTTTTTAATCCATTCAATGAGAAAAAATATAGTAACAAAGTAAAAATGATTCATTAACACTGCGATGCACGTGCGTTTTTTTGCACTTGAGCAAGGGAATGGCTTGTAATTTTTAGGCATGTGCACGGCACTCATTCACTGAATCACACGTGCCGTGAGTTGAAGTTGTAAAAGGATTTCATGCCACTATCGCTGTAGCACGAGCGCACACAAATCATGGTGTTGTACGTAGAAGATAAGTGTTGTTACCACCCGGTATTTAAATCAATTGATAATGAGATTATCCAACTTATAAAAAAGTTTTGTATTAGGTTTTAGGTATATAGTCATGATTAAATTTTTGGTGACAAACATGCTCTTCGAGGAAGTGAGAGTAGGTTATTGACCAGATTAGTCCATATCAAAAATCTGAAACACTGGAGCTCAAGCGGAAAAGGAAAAGGGGATATAGTTGGTTTGATTTTGAATTCTGATTTCACCCATGCGTCCAAAAATAGCAAAAGCATGGGCAGAAAAGTAATCAGAGATTTCTGGGTGTCTTTGTCCTTTTATTCACTATTCCAACAATGCTGAGCTATTCCACCTCTCTGTCTACTGGAATCACAATTCAAAAATGACAAGTACCTTTGCAAAAGCACGTTACCCCTTTCTGCGCGGTTCTAGTTCTACTAAATATTCAGAACATTTGTTTTAGACTCGCACACGCTCATCAACAGCTTTGCTGGGCTATGTTTAGACGGAGACTGGACTAGAACCACATCCAAATGTTGGACCATTATTGGACCTGGGCTTTAATTTAGACTTCAGATCACAAAACTTGCACCGTCGCACACAACTGCTTCACCTTGGTTGTGGCCTATATCTGTCAGTAAGATTGTTGATTGACCTTTAAGGCAAATACCATTCACATTTTATAGGGCTATTTACTGACTCGGGTCTTAATTATAAGGGTTGGTTATCTAATTCACACATGTGAAGGAAATAGGTTATTAACTTATCGAATACTTGTGGTGGTTTTTCCGAAATACTCCTATTACAGTTAACTTATTTGTATTTATTTGATAGTTTGTTTTGAAAATGTCGTGCATCGATAGTCATAATCTAGAAAAGGAATTACTTAGTAAATGAAGCGGATAAAAGAAATGGAAGTCTCGTAAATAAGAATGAACCAAACTCCCCAGCTAGCTCATGTATTTAGGGTAGTTTTGCAATTTTTGCCAGAAAAGAGCCAATTTTATTAGTATCAAAAAATTAAGTACAAACACTAATTTTTGTTTTGACGAGACTAATCATCACAGGAAGATAATATATATATATATATATATATATATTTTGGTGGGTGGGGGTGGAGAAAGAAACTTGTGGCTGGAGACAGGATCTAGAGAGCTGGAGAGCACCGGGGAGGGAGTGGGTTGGCGGAGGACAGGAAGAAAATGGATTTCATAACATGCCCACTCGTTTAAAGGCAGGCTATCTTGGTCTTGTGTCTTGTTGCGTTTGTGGGGAAAATATTTCTTCACGTCATCATCATCAATATCAGTTTTTACTTATTACTGCTATTAAATTAAAAAAAAACATTTTTAAAAATTTAAGAACAAATATACCTTTTGATTTATATACTTTTAGCATATTTTGATATTAGTTCATGTACTTTCATTTTACTCTTTGAAGTCCTTTAAATTTGACCTATTTTCAATATAACGTTTGTTCATATATTTTTAAACATGACTAAAATAGTTTAAAAGTGACTAACATGTATGTAAATTTTGTTACTTCTTGTATTGATTTGTTGAAATTATGATAAGTTGTATAAAAAATAAGTGTAAGATTAAAAAAAAGACATCAAAATATTTAAACGTGCAATGGATGAAAGTTCAGAAAGAAGAAGATACATAGCTAGGATAGATAGATAAAAGATTGTTAATAGTCATTTTACTCATATAATGTTTAATTTATCATAATTTTATTAACTCTTAAGCAAAATTAAACAGAATTACATACACATCCACAAATTTAACTCCACCAATAATGACAATAAGGAATAATATTGTAGACATTTAAAATTTAAAGGAATTAAAATAAATATATATAAACTAATATCTAAAAATATAAAGACTAAACGATTGTGTCTCCCTAAAATTTAAATATGTTTCCCTTTTGAGGCGTTTTCTTCTTCTTTTGAGAAACAGTAAATTTATTTTTGGAATCTCATGAATGGTGACATCAACAATCGCGCGACCTCACCTCACTCCCTGCGATCGGTACAGTCCAAAAATTGCGCCCCAGAAAATGACATGCACTCTGTCAAATAGCTGATAAATAAATAAACGAAAATGATACTTAATGATCCATAAAAAAGAGTGATAACAAGACATCCCATGAATTATTAAAATTTTAATAATAAATTATAATATTTATTTAAATAAATTATATTTTATTTGTTGGTTTAAGATTCATAATAAATTTTTATAAATTCTCAATTAACAATATAAAAATTCTCAACTATTTTTTATTATTTTTTTAAGTGATAATAAAATATCTTAAGTGATAAACTTATGATTTACAACTAATTCTTATAAATTCTCAGCTAATTTTACAAATAATTTTAAGTATACTTTTTAAATTTTTCAAGTAATTTATATATATGTTAACAACAAAAAAATCAAAATTCATGAATCACAATTATTTTTCATAAATTTGTAACTGACGTTATAAATAATTTTAAATGAATATATTTTTATGATTTTTCTACTAATCATTCTCTCTTTTTTTTTTAATTTCAAATAATGATCCTAATTTCTTATCAGGATTATATGTCACGGATGATTTCTAATTGTCATTTTTCCATAAATAAACTCGCAGACTCATTGCAAGATAACAATGTTATTGTTACTAATTAATACAGTTGTCGTCGTTGGTGCATCCGTTGCTTCTTTATCGACGTCTATTTCCAGTTTCCATCCCTTTATCCTGGTTTTAATTATCCTTTGATCAACTTTTTCAAAAGCAGGGCCTGCTTTGCAAAATCCATGGAAGAGATTTCTGGTTTTAGCAATGCTTGAGCTATCATGCAATGAAATATCTTCTGTACTCACCTCACTGTCTCCGTGGCGCCCGAAATTATATGATGTATGATTCTTTTAAAAGTATAACCGCACGTGCATAATCTGTTCAAACCAACGTAGTTAACTAAGCATTCGTGTTTCCATGATAATATGAGAAATTGGCCTTGTTTGCGATAAAAGAGCAAATGTGTTATTAATTAAGCCCAGACAGGATGATTGCAGCATCAATTTGTAAACACATCAATTACCGTGGAGTCAGTTTATTATAGTTGAATTTGGGGATAATCGTGTATAAAAAAGCTGGAGATAATTAAAATTCAGCGTCGTTCGTCCCTTTCTTTTTTAAATTATATTCAGGCCTAAATGTTTTAAATCACATCATTCATAAGGTATGAATGGCACGATTTCTGTAACACACCAAAATTTTTTTTTTTTAATAATTTAACTCAACTATAGTTGGGTTACAGCCACCCAACACATTTTTATATCAATAATTTTGATATAAAATATTTTATAATTGGTTTCAACTCACACACTATAACATTTCAGATAAATTTTTACCTCCCACATGCCATTAGGCTAAATCTCATTTGTCCATCCTTATACTCCCAACAAGTAAACTAAATCACATTTGTCCATCCTTATACTCCCAACAAGTAAAATAAGCAATTTAATAAATTTTCAACACAAGCCAGTTATTTGGCCTTATAATCATGCCATTTTAACCAATCCAAAGTAGATCAAATATTAAAATTACAGTCATCCAAATTGTACCAAAAATAAAAATAGTTTGAAAGGCATGATTACATTTATATATTCATATAATTGATAATAAACAAAAAGCCCTAATATTGGCAATATAACACATTATAAATTATAAATTAAATACCCAAAAGAGACAGTGGATCTATACCACTAAGCCTCTGGGACTCCTCCACGTGTCACTCGTGGCTCTTCTCCTGAAAATTGTTAACCACATAATGAGACTCAAAAGTCCCAGTAACCAAAGCCAATTTATGATTATGTATACAAATAGTTAAGTGTGTGCTTACTAAGTGAGAATTAAAAATAATATAATTTCAACAAATATAAAAAAAATATTACAATACACACAAACAACCATCCTTATATCCCTCCATTAACCTCGAGCCGTAGCCCTCACTCGGTGCTAAATTACCCGGCCAAAGGTAGATTAGCCCGAGCCCTTACAAGCCACCTATTGAGCTCCAATAGGGGCGTACCACGTGGCACATAAATACAATAATAATAGCAAGTCTCCCAACACCTCCCACAATAATTAAACAAATTCATAATAATATTGCACAATTATACAATATTACAAAATTCATAATTTTCTCAATAATCACCCAATTAACATGAAGTAACACTAATCACAAATTAAAAGCATGGTTACCTTGTGGCTTTTTCAATAAATTATTCCTTAAAATTTCTCCCTCACCACAATCTTCACAAGTAATACAATCTACAAAATAACATATTATTTATAAATATTAGTTTCAATTTTTGAAACTAATAAAATAATTCTAATAATAGAATTAAAAATATAACATAATTCTAATTTCAATCTTAATACAAATCTATAGTTAATACTATTAAGTAAAAATTTTAACTCCTCTTTTAATTATCAATAAACATTAATAATCTAAAAATCAACTTCTAAACTAATTTCTATTATCAAAATTTTCTTTTTATTTCATAAATTCGTACCTAAAATACCCAAAAATTAAAAATTGAGTCTCTAGTTTAGAATCATAATCCTATAACCATAATAATTCTTTTCTCATTCCAAATAATCATCTAAACCTCAATAAATCAACATATATTTTCAGATCTAGTCTAGAATTTGATCCATAAGCCACAAATTCAAAGATCACCAATAAATTTATACTCTAGAATATTTATTATACTACTAACAACCTCAAAAACCATATTTATTCAACATAAATTCATCCCTCTTCCAGATCTTAAATTTTCTACCACTACAAAATCAGAAACCAAAGAAGAAGGATGACTAAGAAAAAATTTTAGAACATTTACTTAGTCTTAAAAAGTTTAAAATCACACCCTAAATATCCTATTAAAAACTCTTACCTTAAAACCCAGCACCGGTGAATTTGGCTCACAGATGCTCTCTCTCTGCTTCACCTCACGCACGAAAGAAGGAATGAAGACAGGTGAGTTTTTATAAAAATTCAGTGGGTCCCACATTTTTTTTAATTATTTCCTCTCTCTTCTTCTTCTTTTTTTTATTATTATTATTTTATTTTACTATTGAGGCGGCGGCACGTTTTCTTCTTTTTTTTACAAAACTTTTCCCTTTTTTTTATTATAATAATAATTTAATAATATATTTTTTTATTTTTTTATTATTTTTTAAAATTTTTTTTATTTAATTAATTTTTTTTTAGAATTATATCCTAAGTTAGATTTAATAATCATTTTCTACTAATTTATTTACCTCTAAATATTTTTTTTTAAAAATTTCTATTAACCCAAATTAACTATTAAAATTTAAATTGGAATGTTACAATTTCTATTAAAAAAAATATTATGAAAAATATCTATAATTTTATGAGAAATACTTAAATAGATTAGGTACGTCAAATCATTTATAATTTATCTAATTAAAATACTTAAGATAATTTAAATAAAATTTTATATGACATTTTTTTAATTGATTTTATTTTTATAATATGATGCACATTTAATTTTTATATTTTTTGTATTATCATTAATATTATAATTAATTTATATGTAATATTATTTAAATATTATATTTTTATTGAATAAATTAGAGATGATGTTGTGCATCTAATTTACTTAAAAATTTCTCACAATTTTATATTACAAGGATTTAAATAACATACTCTGAATATAGAATGCTTCATAAATCAAAGACATCAAATAACAACTAGTAAACGATCCATATAACAAAAATGTACTCCAAAAATAAAAGGTAATAATGCCAGTTGATTGTTTGCAAGCGCACTCATGATGGGGCCACTCCTCATTTTCTTTATCTTATCTGACGAGGAATGCACCTTCTCATCAAACACCAGCGCCGTTCTCACCCTCGCTCCCCTTTTCTAAATAATTGAACACAAAAGCTTCATTCTTTGACGATCCCCTCTAAATAATTGCTCCGTTAAATTTCATTGATAAATTCTCACTCTAATTTTGGCATATAAAATCCTCAATAAATTATACAAAAACGCGGAACCACCAGCGATTGACACTTGATTATTGTGACAATCATTAGCTCCATCATATGTTCATGCACGGATGAGAATCTTCTCTTAATATATATCCCTCAACATGCTCAATTATATCCATCCATTTATTCATTCATTCCATTTAAGCGTGAACGTGTCGAATTGTTGATTATAGCATGGCGTTAAAATAAATATATTATTCATTTAATGATTATCACAAATAAGAATTATTATCAACTTATTTTTAAAAGCATTTAAGAGATAATAATAAATAATTTATTGATTTTACTGTCATTATTAATAATCATTCGAGAAAATAAGAGAGACATACACGCAAGCAACAAACTAAACCAAAGCATGGATAAACCAGAAAAGACGAAGGATTAAAGGCAGCACATCGAAAGGCTAGAATTAAAAAAAAAAAAAAAGAATTCCACTCGAGCACAAATAGGAGACGAGATTTGTTGGAATGGAAAATTAAATCCATGGTTGTTTTTTTTTTTTTTTGGATTTTATGATCTCCATTATCCCTACAGTAAAATCTTCACCAAGCAGTCAAACATGTCCACATACATGCATCGTCTCTCCCTCTCCCTCTCTATATTAACCAACCCACAAAGAGAAGATCAAGAAGAGAGAAGAAGAAGTTTAATTTAGAAGGAGAGGAATATATAATAGTTTTAGTCAGCAAAGTCAAGAGTAGAAGATCAGAGAGATGGAATGGAGGAAGTGTTATTTGGACGTGATATTGGTGCCATCAGCTTTACTGATAAGCATCGGATACCATTTCTGGCTGTGGCACACGGTTCGGACTCAGCCTCACCGAACTACCATCGGCGTCAATGCCTCTGTTCGACGCAGCTGGGTCCAAGCCATGATGGAGGTACTCACCCTATACTCTTGCAGTCTTGATCAATGAATGAATGAAAAACCAATTAACGTGGATGCATGGATTGGCGCAGGACAATGACAAGAAAAACATACTAGCGGTTCAGTCTCTGAGGAACACGATCATGGGGTCGACTCTAATGGCCACCACGTCGGTGCTGCTGTGCACGGGACTAGCAGCAGTGATAAGCAGCACGTACAGCTTGAAGAAGCCGCTCAACGACGACGTGTACGGAGCTCAAGGCGAATTCATGGTGGCTCTCAAATACGTCACCCTCCTCACCTTCTTCATCTTCTCTTTCTTCTGCCACTCTCTCTCCATCAGGTTCATCAACCAGGTCAACATCCTCGTCAACGTCCCACTCCAGGGCGACGCCGTCACTCCCTCTTACATCCACCACATCTTGGAGAAAGGCTTCATCCTCAACACTGCCGGAAACAGACTCTTCTACGTCGCCCTTCCTCTCTTGCTCTGGATATTTGGCCCTGTTCTTGTCTTCCTCTGCTCTCTCGCTATGATTCCTGTGCTTTACAACCTCGACTTCCTCTTCTCTGCTTCTCCCGATAACACCAAGATCTAACCTGAACAAACTCTAGTCGTCACCCACCGTTAATGCTTTATTATTATAGGGAATATATAATGCATGTGCGAGATCTACTTAACGTTTCCAGACTTGCATGTATCTGCGTTTCGTTTTCCAGGACACGTAATGCCACGGACTGTCTCGGTCCTCTGTTCTCTTCTTTGTAAATTAATTTACCCTCCTTCCTGGACCATTGACTTGAGTATGATTAATATAACTGAATCTCATAGTTAAATAAGTTGAATTGTTGGTGCCTGAGAAGCAGGGATTGAGGGCGGGGTACAACAAGGGACACGGTCTCTAAAATTTTTAATTTTTTAATATTATATAATTGTTATATACTTGGGGCCACCGCCCTCGTCAAGATTTATTAAAATTTTGCCATGCGTATGCTTTTTAATTTTGACTCTCCTTGCAATTAAGTTCTGGCTCCTCTAAGAAGTCATTTTTATTGTGAGACTTTCAAGTAGGGCTGTATAAAGGCGGGACAAATAGATTCGAGAAGCCGCCCATAGCCCATCCCGTTTTGTACAAAACGGGTTGGGGCAGTTCATACCCATATGTGGCCCGTTTCAGTTCATTTTAAAAACAGATTGGGCTCGCCCATATGGGGGTATGAACGGGTTGGAGCTAGCCCATTTATCCGACAATCCTCTTAAAAAAAAAGAACAAAAACCTCTCCTAATTTTTAAGACTCCAATTCTTAAACCAAATTAAAAAAGAAAATTCATTACAAAAAAAAAATATATAGGAAGAGATCTTGAGAGAAGAAATAATAACAATGTTATCATAATTCATAACTCTAGATAAGTTGATGCTTCTTTAAAAACTATAGCATTCTAATACAACCAAGTACACCAAATAACGCAAATACAGACAGTTGCCCACATGCTTCATCTGACATCTGCTTGTTCAATTGGTTTGGAGTTTATCATGTTGCCTTGAATAATTTGGGGGTTTGTTAAGAAAGCTTTTGAAAATTCTTCCTAAATTTTAGAAAGCTAAGAAATAAAGTCTTGTTTGCCAAATCTTAAATTAACCCATATTAGAATTAAACCTACAACACATTTTATCTTTAGCTGCAACCAAACACGAGTAGAGGCAAAATTGTTTCCCCTCTTTTGTTCATGCTCATGGATAGACAAACCCCAAATTCTAAGTGTCTCTAAAACTTAATTAAACAAGTCCAAAAATTCCAATCCCAAATTCTTAGTACTAATCACACCCTATTTTAATTGGACTCAGTCAACTTTAAAAGGAAAAAAATAAAGTTTAAGGAAAAATAGACAATCATAACAAGTTCGACAAATACAAGGAAGAAAGTAATAAAAATAAGAGAAGAAGCTCCCATCACAGTCTCGGCTGTGCCACCGGAGGCTATGGGGAAGTCAGAATAGGAGAGCACTCATGGTGAAGTGGGTTTATTATTTAGATGCTTTCAGCAATTATCCGCTCCGCACTTGGCTACCAGCATTTACCCTGGGCACTACATAGAGAGAAGAAAAGAAGAAAGCTCACAACAAGTTTGCATCTTTACACATCTTCTTTCTATCTATATACCTTAACTTCTTAACATTTTCTGGCCAATTAGTTGCTTCCTTATTGTGATCCCACTTCAAATCAATCAAGAAGGGATTGAGTAGTGAGACTCAAAGAACATAAGGTGAGAGCGGAGAAGAGAATAGGCCTTTAGGAAGGTGCCATGTCGTCGCGTGTACAGAGCGTCAGAGCAAGAATGATGGCCAAGGACAAATCAATAGGTGACGGAGGGAGACGAGGCTACTGGTCATCCAACAACAGTGACGACGGATGAGGATGTGTGGTTGAGAGATTTGAGAGATTGAGACAAAAGCAGGTGAGTCATGAATGTGCAACGCGATTAGAGTGTGAGGGCGAGATGAGTAGATAAGGTGAAGATGAGTGACAGCCACTGGATGCGTCTTGCTTGTGTTGGTGTCAGCATATTTGAGATTTTATTTAGTAAAGAACCTTTAAACCGATAGCCCATCCTTCCTGTTTAAATTAAATATGGGCTCGTTATTTGACCCGCTCATTTTTCTTCTGATATGTGGGATTTAGCCAGCCTGTTTTCATTAGGTACGAGTAATCCTGTGAGTTATAAGTTGTTTGCTCACCCCCACTCTTGAGGTGAGGAATAAATTAGTGAGCTTTTTTTTTAGAAAAATAATAATAAAATTTCTTTAAAATGTATAAATGACAATTTGACATTTTAAAGTGTCATAATTCTCCCGAAATCTCTAGCGAATTTTCTATCATTAATAAATTTATCTAAATTACTAAATTATTCTTGTTAAAAATAAATGATTCACAAGTTTTATTTAAATATTCACAATTTTTCTTCTTATATTTGCAGCAATGCAATAACAAATCTCAACTTCGCATGTTAATTCCTTATTTACTGTTTTATTGCTGCGAATATAAAAAAAATTATAAATATTTAAACAAAATTTGTGAATCATTTATTTTCAATAAAAGTAATTTCATAATTTATATAAATTTATTAATGATAGAAAAATTTAAAAGTAAAAATAAAATTGAAAGTGCAATGGGGTTGTTTAAAAGTATGTTTGGGTGGATGGAGGTGAGATTAAATTTTTATTTAATACAGTATGTATCTATATTTTGAAAAGGCGAGACTACTTATCAACTTAAAAAAAAAAAATCAAAAAACGAAGAAAGTTCGGGTTTGTATTCTGATATCCAAAGTGGCTCTTGATGGACCATAGATTACAGATGAAAAAGCTATGTGAGAGTCCATGGAAAAGCTTAAATAAGTTTTTTATGCTATTTCATTCGCTAGTGTAACACATCAAATTTTTTTTTTTTAATAATTTAACTCAATCATAGTTGGGTTACAGCCACCCAACACATTTTTATATCAATAATTTCGATATAAAATATTTTATAATTGGCTTCAACTTACACACTATAACATTTCAGATAAATTTTTACCTCCCACATGCCATTAGGCTAAATCACATTTGTCCATCCTTATACTCCCAACAAGTAAACTAAATCACATTTGTCCATCCTTATACTCCCAACAAGTAAAATAAGCAATTTAGTCAATTTTCAACACAAGCCAGTTATTTGGCCTTATAATCATGCCATTTTAACCAATCCAAAGTAAACCAAATATTAAAATTACAGTCATCCAATTTGTACCAAAAATAGAAATAGTTTGAAAGGCATGATTACATTTATATATTCATATAATTGACAATAAACATAAAAAAGTCCTAATATTGGTAATATAACACATTATAAATCATAAATTAAATACCCAAAAGAGACAGTGGATCTTACCACTAAGCCTCTGGGACTCCTCCACGTGTCACTCTTGGCTCTTCTCCTGAAAATTGTTAACCACATAATGAGACTCAAAAGTCCCAGTAACCAAAGCCAATTTATGATAGTGTATACAAACAGTTAAGTGTGTGCTTACTAAGTGAGAATTAAAAATAATATAATTCCAACAAATATAAGAAATATTATAATAAACACAAACAACCATCCTTATATCCCTCCATTAACCTCGAGCCATAGCCCTCACTCGGTACTAAATTACCCGGCCAAAGGTAGATTAGCCCAAGCCCTTACAAACCACCTATTGAGCTCCAATAGGGGCGTACCACGTGGCACATAAATACAACAACAATAGCAAGTCTCCCAACACCTCCCACAATAATTAAACAAATTCATAATAATATTGCACAATTATATAATATTACAAAATTCATAATTTTCTCAATAATCACCCAATTAACAAGAAGTAACACTAATCACAAATTAAAAGCATGGTTACCTTGTGGCTTTTTCAATAAATTATTCCTTAAAATTTCTCTCTCACCACAATCTTCACCAGTAATACAATCTACAAATAACATATTATTTATAAATATTAGTTTCAATTTTTGAAACTAATAAAATAATTCTAATAATAGAATTAAAAATATAACATAATTCTTAATCTCAATCTTAATACAAATCTATAGTTAATACTATTAAGTATAATTTTTAACTCCTCTTTTAATTATCAATAAACATTGATAATCTAAAAATCAAATTTTAAACTAATTTCTATTATCAAAATTTTCTTTTTATTTTATAAATTCGTGCCTAAAATATCAAAAAATTAAAAATTAAGTCTCTAGCTTAGAATCATAATCCTATAACCATAATAATTTATTTCTCATCCCAAATAATCATCTAAACCTCAATAAATCAACATATATTTTCAGATCTAGTTTAGAATTTGATCCATAAGCCATAAATTCAAAGATCATTAACAAATTTATACTCTATAACATTTATTATACTACTGACAACCTCAAAAATCATATTTATTCAACATAAATTCATCCCTCTTCCAGATCTTAAATTTTCTACCACTACAAACTCAGAAACTAAAGAAGAAGGATGACTAAGAAAAATTTTTAGAACACTTACTTAGTCTTGAAAAGCTTAAAATCACACCCTAAATATCCTATTAAAAACTCTTACCTTAAAACCCAGCACCGGTGAATTTGGCTCACAGATGCTCTCTCTGCTGAAGCTCACGCACGAAAGAAGGAATGAAGAAATGAAGCAACAGGTGAGTTTTTATAAAAATTCAGTGGGTCCCACATTTTTTTTAATTATTTTCTCTCTCTTCTTCTTCTTTTTTTTATTATTTTATTATTGTTACTGTCGAAGCAAATTCATTTTCTTCTTCTTCTTCCTTTTTTTATTATTATAATAATAATTTAATAATATTATTTTATTATTTTATTATTTTTTTTTTTTTTTAAATTATTTATTTTTTTTATTTTTTATTTTTTTAAATTTTCTATTAACCCAAATTAACTATTAAAATTTATATTGGGATATTACAGCTAGCATTTATGTTAATTTTTGTGGTTAATTGGAAATAATTTTAATAGTATACTTATCATGACAAAAATGTTTTGTTGAAATTGTATTATTTATAGGAAGATCTGGAAAACATGAAGGGAATTTGAATTTGAGAGAGGGAGATAAATTGTATACAGTGAGCATTTTTTTTAAATCTATTAAAAAGTAGATGAAATTAAAAAATTTTGACAAGAAAATATATGTAAATTAACCTATGAAAATAAAAATTAAAAGGCACAATCCTATTAATAAAAATAAATTTTATATTGGCTACTCAATTACAAATTTTAAAAATAAAGACACTTATAAAATTTAAAACAAATATATAATTTTTTTAAAAAAATAAAAACTACTAATTAATTATCATTTCAATATAATGTTTTCAAAATCAGACCGGATATTGAATCAAAAAGGTCAATAGTTCACAGTTCATATAGTTCAATCGGGCTGGATTAATGGTTAAACTGGTGATGTAATAATTAAATTAAAAAAATTATATGTATATAATAATTTAAATATAAAATTACTACTTAACTTAAAAAAATTAAATATTTTAAGTTTATTATGACTTAACAAGTTACATGATACAATATAATATCAAATGATAAAAAAAAGGTCATTTCCTAAAAAATTTATTAAAGAAATTAATTTTTTTAACAGCCCGGTTATTGAAAATCGGATCTAGTTCTCGACTTGATTTCAATTTCAAGTTTGACCATCCGTCCGAAAAGCCCAACCTGGCTCAACCTTCAAAATAGTTTTCATATATTGACTAAACTAAAATTTGGACCAATCTAAATGTTTGATTTTGAAATCACTGTTTCAATATTACTATTGTTTCTTTGGGAAAAAATAGAATGAATGATGGAGAGGTTTTAAAAAGACTAATTGATTTAATTTAGGTTTTAAGTGTTAACTTGTAGGAATTTGCAAGTTTAGCTTTTAATTTTATAATTTTATTATCATGAATTTATAACTTATTTTTTTAAATTTTAACATGTTTCAAAAGTGAATAAATTTATTTATTTTATTAAAATTTAGAACATAAATTATAAATTTATTATAATAAAATTATAAAATTAAGAGTTAAACTTTAAAATTTCTGAAAGTTGACGCTTGAAGCTTAAGTTAAATTAATTGATCTTTTTTAAATTTCTTTGTCATCTTCCCAAAAAATATTACTGTAGATTTTAATATAGAAGAAAACAGTAATGATGATTACTTCTTTTATTAAAAAATATAACATATTTTTCAAGAATTGAATACTAAAAAATGTAAAATCTTTTTTTTTAGCTTTTTAAGATATAATTATTTTTTTAAAGTATCCATATTAAATAAATTATTTTATATTTATTTTAAGATAAAATACTTTATTAAATATGAGTAAATATAAAATAATAAAACTAATTTAAAAATAAATAATTATTTTATTGAGATGAGATCTTTTATTAAAAATATTAAATATTTTTTTAATGAAAGAATATATTTTAAGAAAAGAAAAAAGATTCGCCAAGAGCCTTTTCCACTTCGTCTCCATTCTTCTCCAGCATTCCAATTGCGTAACGAGAAACCAGGAGTGGGACCTTCCTTTGATTTTCTGTTTCTCTTTTTATTATTTCATATATGTGAAGTGCTACGCTGCGTTTTAAACTCCCACCCTCCCAGCGATCAGATCGACGCTCCTCCTCCAGTCTCCTTTCCAGAGCTGTCGGCCGCTGCATCCGCTCTCCACGCTCCCTTCGTTTCTCGCCATCGTCGAAGAGAAAAAGGTGGCCGTCAATTTCTCTCCCCACCTTCCACACTCCTCGGCGTTTTACCACCATATCCTCTCAAATCCCTAAATCCCCCTCTCGGAATGATCTGGCTGCTATTTTGTGTGCGGTATCTGGCTCCTGTTTGGTACTTTGCTCGAATGAATATGATTTGGCTCATTTTTTGTTTGGGACTTCGAAGTCTCGCTCACACGCAAACTCACACTCGGCTTTTGTTACGGCTGAGATGCTCTTTTATATATATATATATATATATATATATGTTATTCAATAAACTATTTTTGCTCGGATGATATTGCTCGAATTTTTTGTTTTCGTGTGTATGTGTGTTTGGCTCCTGGTATCCTTCCTCAACTATCATAATCCCTGCTCTTCATTGCATTTTATATTCAACCTATGGTAAAACTTGTTTCTGCCATTCAATTTATTTAACAGACATCAGGGGCTGCGATGTGATATGCGTGTTGGGGAAGACTAATGTCATAGATTAGTGAAATATCATTATTGTGATATGGTTCCGATAGATTCAATCAAATTGAAAAATGAAAACGGAAGCAAAGAGAACTGGTTTAGGTTGAAAGAGGGAATGAAAAATTATACGTAATTCAAGCCACCTCAAACCCCTCAATTTAGAGGGATTGGAACAATGGGGTACAAGTGTAGTAAGTTCCGACCCATCTTAGCCCACATGACCTTTAAAACTCCAAAGTTTTATAACATTTAACCCGCCCCACACCACTCCCAACTCATCCTCCCATTATAATTATAAATTCCCAAATAACGGGTACACAGTAATAATTAATTCATAGCATTCCTCTGAACTGAAACGCTCAAGGAGTATCCAATTTTCGAAACACTTCAGCAGGTAAATAAATATTTTCCTCAATAAGCAATGTGCACCATGGTCCATAAGAAATAAATAAAATATCCAATTGAAAAATGCTTAATCCACTCATAGAATGGTTGGTGGTGGCTAGCAGAGTGAGCTTCATAGTGGAGAATAAGGGCATGTTTGAAAATCTATTTTAAGAATAGTTTTATGTTTTCCAAAACAAGAAAACAAAAAAAATCTGTTTGATAAGTATTTTTAAAAAGTGTTTTGAAGAATAAAAAAATAAAATATTATTTTGGAGAATAGAAAAATAAAAATAACTTTTAAGTGTTTTGTGATTATTGTTATGAAAAATAAGAGAGAATGAAAAAAAATACTTATTTTATTATTTTTTATTCTCAGAACATGTTTTATAAAATACTAGTTCTCAAAATAATAAAATAAAAATAATTTCAAACAGTCCCTAAGTTTCTAGTGTTTCTTATTTTGAGGGTTTGAAAAAGATTCGAAAAGCAACTAATAGATTAAGCAATAATGCTATAAAATTGCATACATAAGTGATAAATTAGTGGGTTGAAGTTATTTGAAGAGCGGAGGAAAAGACAAGATGAGAATAGCCTTGTGGCAAAAAACAGAATGTTGGCTTCGCAAACCCTAATTCGTGAAGTTTGACAGTTCAGAAAACACCCGGGTAGATCCAAGAGAAGATTGAGCTTTGTCCTTCCTTAATCTTGAAGCTCATGTCCTTTTTCTTGTCACAAACTTTGTGCGGTTGAAGGTAATCAATGGGAAATGTTACTTCTAACTGAAACGATGCGCACATAATAATAATAATAATAATAATAATAATAATAACTGAGCTGTTGTCCAGTTTCTAATTCTCATTGCATTCAATTTCATAAGATAGTCATAATACTTGCAGCCAATTATGCATCAGAGTTATGTTAGTTTTCTGCATATTTTTTATTTTGAATGTTGTCTTTGCTTGTATCTTCTTTAAGATGTATATGTTTTATGCTCACACTGTTCATATTGTAGGCTATGGTAATCTTAAATGAAGGAGTTCTTTTAGGTTTTCGTGTTTTTTATGAGCCATATGATAGCCACATGTGAGATTTTTGTTGGCATAGGCTGCTCATAAATATTAATTTCCTTTTCCTTTCCATACGTCCTGAGGTCTCGGCAAATGCCATGTAACCATTTCAATAAAGTGAAGACATTCATGTTTTGCTTAAATGGAAAAGCATAGCTAAAGCAGTGGGATAATTTTCCCCCCTCAAATTGATAGTAATTCAAAGCTGTATAGTTTTGTGTTTTTCTCTTAGTTAATGAAATTGTTCTTTCAGAAGTTTGTGGAAGGACTAAAAATGTCTTCCTCACATCTCCCCGCAACAAGAGAGACAATTGCACAGGCACTGGGGGCTAAAAACCCATCTGAGGCTATCTCTATTCTTCATCGTGTGCTTGAGAACCCCTCTTCATCTCCAGAAGCTCTGCGCATTAAAGAGCAAGCCATCACTAACCTCTCTGATCTTCTCAGGCAAGAGAATAGGGCAGAGGATCTGTGCAGCCTTCTCACTCAGTTGAGGCCATTCTTTTAGGTTAATACTGCAAAAATAGTGAGAGGAATAATTGATTCTGTTGCAAAAATACCAGGGACATCTGATCTACAAATTACACTCTGCAAAGAGAAGGTGCAGTGGGCTCGAGCTGAAAAGCGTACCTTACCGAGGCAGTGGGTTGAGGTGCTTCTTTTGGAAAATAAGGAGTGCGCAGAAGCTTTGACCCTCCTTACTGGCTTGGTCAAAGAAGTTAGAAGATTGGATGACAAGCTGCTTCTTGTGGACAGAGACTTGCTGGAAAGCAAGCTACTCTTTTCCTTAAGGAACCTTCCTAAGGCAAAGGCTGTCCTTACTGCAGCAAGAACAGCTGCTAATGCTATTCATGTGCCCCCTGCTCAAGAAGGTGCCATTGATTTGCAAAGCGAGATTCTTCACGCTGCGTATAGTTATTTCTTTGAAGTTTTTGGGTCCTTTAATGCTCTTGAAGACCCCAAGGCTGTTTTTATCCTAAAATACATGTTGTGTAAGATTATGGTGAGTCAAGCTGATAATGTGGCAGGCATTATATCTTCTAAAGCAGGCCTCCAATATGTTGGGCCTGACTTGGATGCCATGATAGCTGTTGTAGATGCTCATTCTAAACGTTCCTTTTTGTTGATTGAAATTGCTTTGTGGGAACCAATGAGAGTTGGTTTGAGTGGTAAACGACTTGGTTTTACTTAAGCAATATCTCGAGTTTGAGTCTTGTGTATACAGAAAATTCCTACTGAAAGACTCACCTACCAAAGTCAGCTGCATTACTCGAGTCAGATCCAGATGTAATTGGGACAAAGCTTCAGTGGACTGGGTGGGCAACAAAAAAAAAAAAAATGCTTTGCGGGAGTACAAGGCACAGTTGGAGGAAGACCCAATTGTCCACAGGCACCAGTCATTCCTACATGATACCCTTCTGGAGCAGAACCTTTGCAGATTAATTGAGCCATTCTCTAGAGTCGAGATTGTGCATATTGCTGAGCTGATAATGTGGAGCTAAAGTTGTCCCAGATGATTTTGGACGAGAAGTTTGCTGGCACATTGGATCAAGTTGCTAGATGCCTCGTCATATTTGATGATCCCAAGAGCGACGCCATATATCCTGCAACCTTAGAAACCATTTCCACCATATGGAAGGTTGTGGACAGCCTTTATGTTAGGTCTGCCAAGATCATGGCAATAAACTACTTCCTTTTTTTTTTTAATAGGAGAACTGTCACTTTTAATTTGTTTTTTTTATATATGTAAACTCACCAATAAACATTTATTATAAATTTTTTAAATTACTCTCTATAATTTTATCATCTACAGTTACAAGAAATAATTAATGAAGGTTTGATTAACATAATTAATAAAGGGTATTGTAGTTTAGTTTTTTATTTTCAGACATAATTAATATAATTAATTAATTTTTTTAAATTATGTGATATATATATTTTTTTCTATAAGTAAAAATGAAGGGAGTATGTTAGTGTTCCTGCGGCATAACTTTGTTGCTGTTTCTGGATGATGAGCTTCGTATTGTTTGTGTTTTGTTTTCTCAAAATTGTGATACTAGAAATCATGCGAGTCATATGTACCTAAACCTTTTCCGAGTGGGCATTGGACTGTATTTAAGCTTAAAAGCGGTTGGAAGCAACCACGGCCGGTGTAACCTTGAATTTATGGATGAAAAGCGTCGTATCTGATCTCAAAGCACGAGCACTTTAATGCATCACGAATTGCGTTGCGGAGCTATCCGTTTATGATTGATAGAGGCCTCGTTTGTGACAGATGGATGGTATATGGAGAAGATACGGCTTCCATTTTATGTCAGTGCTCTATGCACTCAAGCATATAATAAATATTTTCTCGACTTTAATAAAACCTTAGAATAAGTATTATTCACCACCATATTGCCATTCTTAATTTGGGAAAAAATGTGTACGTTTTCGAAAAAGATTAGAGGCTGCGATTTAAGCACCTTTCTCGGGGAAAAAAACAAAAACTCCTCAAGCTTTATATATTAGTCACTTTTTAAAAATGTAATGTAATTTATTTTATATATCATTAGTTGTTAGAATTGTTTTCTTTTAAATTGAAATTCTCCAACTATCCCTAAAAAATAAAAAAAAGATAAAAATATTATATCATTTACTTTTTATTTTTTACTTAAAGGTTATATTTATAATTTCACTTACTTTCATTTCTCGTATTTTTATTACATTAATATTAATGAGTTTGATAAAAATAATTTATAAATAAGATCAAGGGAATATCTATTTAAGCAAGCAGTGGATTATTCAAATGAAAAACTGGTTATTGCTATTTTATGTAGTTTTAAAGGGCCGCCATGTCTCCATGACCATTGTCCTGTTTACCTCATGTTTCAAAGGAATCATGAGAACTGAATTGAAAAAACAACAAAGCGTCAAGCGCTGTTTGTTTGCTCCCTCGTTCCAATTCCTGAATGAAGGAACATATAAAGGTTATACAACAAAAGAGAAGGTGTGCCACTTCATCTTCGTGGATCTGTTTCCTTCCAACCTACGATAGTCTAAGTCGGTCGCTTACCATCACCAAATGAAAAAAAAAATAAAAGTCAAGTAGCTGGTTTTCAGATGCCTGATTCCCTCCAGAATATCACGACACAAAAAAGTAGAGGAGGAGGAGGAGGAGGAAGAAGCGAAATTGAACGGCGACGGAGATGCATGATAGACTAAGACCAGTGACTGGTCTAATCTAATGTAGCATTGAGAAAACAGTGAGTGATAATAAATCAAACGATGGAGCGTAAGATGTGATGTGAAGGTCTCGAATGAACAAGGGGCAATAAAAAAGCAGTTGTACATTGATACTACTACAACAACTAGTCTCCTCCTGACTGGTGTCGTCCCCACTCTATAATCCGGAATGGTGGCTTTGCCTTTTCAACGCCACTGGGCAATCCCTACTCACAAAGTTAGGTATTATTGCATTATGTTAGGACAGTGACGATGCCAATAAACCAATAATGCAAACAACTTTAAAAACTCACCCAGAAAGCGAGGGCTAACCTGCTTTTCTATCACCAACCCCATAAAAGCATTCACTTATTTATATTTTACAAGTACCAGCTTTTGTGTTAGGGGCGGTGCTTGTCCCCATCGAATCCTCACGTTACTTTAAGAAACCCACTTGTTTTTCCTCTCTTCTCTTTTGGGTCACTGTGCCTTTCCAGCTTTTCTCTTCCTTCAATCTTTGCCACACTTCCTTCCAAATCTATTGTCTTTGCTGCTTTTCCAAAGGTAATAGAGTATTTTATTTTTAGCTACCCAACTCCTCCCCCACCTTGCTCCTTTGGAATTTCAATCTCACTCCAGTGTTCATTGGGTGGTCCTCCTCAAGCGTGTGTGGGTGTGTCTCACAAAATTCCAATTTTATTTCACACCCATGCTATCCCTATTATGTTCATTTTTTTAATATATTTAGTATCTTAAACCCAATATTATCGAATCAATTTGGATCTACAGATTAAGGAAGAAATCCTAAAAATAGCTCTTACATTTTCATGAACTTGAACATGAGATGACCTTGTGTTTAAGTAACTATAATCTTTTTTGCTAGGACCAATGCTTGTCAGTAATGATATTTATTACATTTAACAAGTATAAAGATAGTTTTCAGATCGATGTCAGCCCATTTTTTGTGAGTGTGCTGATTTGCTCCATCCACGCCTAGAATTTGAGGTGGTGAACTTTTCTTTGCATGATTGTGGTGGTGATGTGATCCTAAATTGTGGCAAATGTGGCTTCAGATGTTTCGCCACCAAATGCTTTACCCTTATTCTTCACTTTACTTAACCACGCACAACGGGCCGAAGAATCAAAGTTGTGGCACCCACCTTTCTCTTTTGGTTCGCTCCCCTTTATTCTTTTTCAGTGGTATTCATTGTGTGTTGCCCAGTTATCAATTCTACTAGAGTTTTAAATTTTATTATTTTGCTCTCTTGGTCAAGAAGTAACTATGGTATATACTATAAAATTATAGACTTTTCTTTCATGCGGTCACAAACATTGCCCGTCATTTTCACATGTCGGCTTGTCCTTAATAATCTTAATTCAAATTGAATTTGATGTATTTGCAACTTAAAATATTTATTAAATTTAAAAATTTGTGAATTTCCTCATCCCGTGTGAGACGATATCAGCCTGCTAAAAGATGAAAGTGAAATTGAAGAGATGATTAGTCCTTTGGAGATTTGAATAATAGTCGCCCTCGCCTCATCACCAGTACCCAATAAATGCCTAAGTGGTCATAATTAATACTTTATATTGTTCCTTTATATTTTGGATCTTAACTGGTCAAAACTAATCAACCACCGTCAACACACGCTATTCACCTTTACTCTAAACTAGTTAACACCTTTTGTGTAATGTCATAAACGCAAGATATGCGCATAGTATTAATACAATTCTGTTTCTTATCGTCACGTTAAACATAAATGATAGTACACTCTAATAAAGCTTGTAATTTTACATAATAAGCTAATTTTTTAGTATATGATAAAATGTTAAAAAAACTAAAAAATTTAAAAACATAAATCAATTAGACATCCTTCAAATTTTGAAAACTAGTCTCATCATCACTTCACTTCAAATTTTATTTAATTTTCACCGAAAGAAAAAAAAAAATCGATTTCTCAATTCAATCACGGACTGGGCAGGTTCCAAAAAAGATACCCACAGAATTTTTTTTTTATTTTTACACGTGGCGATTTGATGATGCTTCCCCGGTTCGGAGGCAAACTGGTCAGATTCGCAAATTTATCACTACTTTCTTGGAATGTCGTCCTTGCGTCGGATTGGTGTACCAAATTTCAAGGCGTCAATACATAAAAAATAAAATTAAATAAAATTGTGAGTCATGTTACTAGTGATTAGGAACCATAGTCTGATCTTGTTTAGTGATAATCTGAAAATTAACAAGAAAAAATTTGATTTATAGGACTGAAAGATTGATCCTGTTAGTTCAGTACTCACTTAATTTTTTTTCTTTTTTTATTCTATAAGAGGCAATAACCCATTTCAATATAATAAATTCAATTAAAATAGTAAAAACACTTATAATAATAATAAATATATAATAATTTTCAACAATAAGAAAAAATATATTTCTCTTATAGTCCAAATAATTTTTAAATTTATAACTTTAATAAAAATAACACACGATAAAATTTAACAACAGTACATTACAACAACAATTTAAAAATAAACTCAATAAATTTTCATATAATCATCTCCTTAGCATCAATTATACTTTAAATATTTATCAAAAATAAATTAATTATAATTATAATTATAATAAAAAAACTTATAGGACTGGATTGTATCAAGTGATCTGAATGTTTAGTATTTTGTCCAATTCAATCTAAAAAAACAGTATGATCTTTTTAGTCTTTTTGATCCTGAAGGATCAGTATCTATACCGACCGAATAAGACTAAGATCATCTCAAATTAAATTGAATTAGATAGATTGAAAGATTTTTGTACAGTTCTAATACTGACTGTCTGAAAGTTTTATTAAAATTTAACTGATTTTTTTTTATACACAAAATTTAACTGATATTGATTATTAGCAAACCAAACTCAGTACGAAGTTAAAGTTACGAGCCAGAGCGTGGAGGATCCAATTATTGGCATGAAGTGGGCCTCTCGGGTCCAACACGCAATTACACGTGACTTCTGATGTCATTTTCGTATTCCACCCTGTCAACGACTTTCGACTGAAGTTTTTAAACTTCATGTGCCGTCCAATCTTTTTTTCTTTTAACTATTTATAAAAAAATAAAAAAAATTATTTTACGTACTTCGTTTTCACTTTTCCTATTTATACCCCTTCACTTGCTTCCCTCGCTCCCTTTTCCCTCTCTTCCCTTCTTACTCCCTCTATTTTCTCTCCGGCATGATGGAGATGAAGCCCGCCGCCGCCCTGCCCGTCTGCACCGCCACTCAATCCCAATCCCTGCACCCGTCGTCGGTTCTCTCTGGCTTCTGCAACATGAAGCCGATGCCGTCCGAGTTGGCCTTTGAAGAGTTCCTGAATAAGGGGTTGGCGTCGACTAACGACGAGGACGTGAAACCGTGTGGGCTTTGGGATCAGGTAGACAAAAGTTTCCCCCACGCGGACGCATTTCTGGCCGGCGTCGGCTCCAACGATTTCGATCACGCTTTCCGAAACTCGGTTAGTGCTCTTTCTCACTTACGTTACCAAAGCCCTCTCGCTGTATCAGGAACAAAAAAACTAAGTGCGTTCGACATCTCTCGCCACGTCATCTTGCGGTTCGGCGGCTTGATGATGTGGCTACACTCCTCGTTTCACGCCTAGTGAAGTGGCATCACCCTCAGCTACTCCACCAACTGCTGATTTCTAAAATCATGATGATGAAGAGTGATTATAATCATATAAATAATAATTAATTATGTGATTACTTTTAAAAACACGTCTTTTGGAAAGATTATTAGTCCAAGGCAAGGAAATTAAAAAAAAAAAAAGACTAGCAAACTGAACACGAAAAAATAATAATAGAAAAAAATAGTATTAATATGTTACCCAAAAAAAAAAAAACAGTATTAATAATAGCAAACCATGATTTCGGCTTTCATTTTTTCCTGGCTACAAAACTGTAAGAGCTTTCTTGTTCAGATGAATGAAGCCGCAGATTTTTGTTTATGGTTAAATAAACTTGCATCGAAATTTCCTTTCCCTGGCGTTGCTTACTATAAAACTAAATTCAATTTAGTGTAATTAAAATTAAAAACAACAATATAAAAAGCGTGAAGACTGTGTGTATTGTAGAAGGAGGAAACAGGAAAGTGTGGTGGAAATTTGAATAGAAGCAAAGAAAAGACGATTGGGGAAAAGGACATGTCTTCAGGAGCGAGACATACTAATTGGAGCATGGACTGAACCTACCAATCACTTAACTCTTTTGGTGTTCACATATCAATAATTGTTCAAGGAATATTTACAGAAAGCGTGCTGCGACTGAAAGTCAGACTACTCGTTATTTTCTTCTTGATATTTTTCTGTCATTCCATTTATATTTTTTTTCCTTCTTTTACATAATGACTATTGCGTGCGAGATTTCCTTCCAAAACGGTAAATACTGTGAAAAGTCCTTTTTAAAAAAAAAAATAGCGAATTCTTGACACGAATTAAATATGATTGTTCCTTTGAATGATTTTATGGTACTGTTTATGGAACGTGACAGAATTTGTCTTGGGGTGGATTATCATGATGCCCATAGGAATTCTTCACACTAATTCTTGTTGGTGAAAAGCTTTGTTAAACTATGGACTGTGGCGTTACTCCCAAGCGAATAATGTCAAAATATATAAATCAGCTGTTTGTTGGTAGATGAAGAAGGAAAGGGAAGCATCCATTAGATGACTCTATTACCTGGCATGCTTTTCTTTTCTTGCTTTTTCCCCTCGCTCCTTTATTCTAAAGTAAAATCTCAACTTATTCTTGCTTCACCACCGACTCGTAGTTGATGAGATATTTCTAATTTAGCGATTTGAAAACATGGAATCATTCATCCGCTGTGGTTGAGGGACTGGTCAAGAAGGGGTATTTTGTTGCTTCCCTCCATGGCCTATTTTCTCGTGCTTTTCTTCCTCTAGTTCATTTTCTTTTTCTTTTCTTTTCTTTTTTTGGGGGGGGGGTGTGGAGAAGGGACTGAAGATCACCTGCTAAGTGAAGGGGTCAAATAAAATATAGAAAAGAAAAGAAAAAAGTTTGTGAACTCTTCATTCAGGGTCAATTATAGCGTTTAAGAGGACCTTATGCTGCTATATATATATATATATATATATATTATAACTAACCTAGTTTGATCCTTAAAATTCCAGCTTATGTAGGTTGTCATATATATGATTGCAGGATGCAGTGAGTGGGTTTACAACTTGCGAGGGACTGACAGATTCGCTTTTATGGTCCCAGAACGGCACTTCTAAGAATTCACCTCTCTCTGCTACCATTGAATCTCAGTCATCCATTTGTGGTGCTACTGGTAATAACATGGTCTATGGGCAAACGTGTATTGTATATTTATGTTTATGATTTCTCGTACACACTTTTGCATGTCACGCACGCACATATGTGCTCTGCATGGTATGGCAGCACTGATGTAGCTCATAAGAAACTTGTTTAGTTCATGTAGTTTAACATATTTGGATCAATTGCAAACTGGCCAGTTTGCAGCCCTGTGTCAGCTAATCAACCAACCCTTGGAGATAATCAACCAAAAGGCACTACCAGTGCTTCCTCTCGTGAGCAATCTGATGAGGATGACGCAGCAGGTCCTTGTGATCAGAGTACAGACCCCATTGATATGAAGCGTCTCAGAAGGCATGTTCACCACTTTAAAGAACTATACACTCATTGTTCTTCATCCTCCCTGCTTCACACTTTCATCGTTGTTTCAGGAAGGTTTCTAATCGGGAATCTGCCAGGAGATCCAGAAGAAGGAAACAAGCCCATCTTGCTGACCTTGAGTTGCAGGTGAGAGAACTCATGTTTTGGAAGTACAAGGGCATGTGTTTAATAACTCAGTCTTGCTTGAAGCAAGCCAAGCCATTGCTCTTCAATGGGCTCTTCAAAATTAAGGAATGTTATATTTTACCTTCGAGATCCAACCATGAAATTTTGAATTTGTCTTCCTCAGGTTGAACAACTGAGATTGGAGAATGCAGCTCTGTACAAGCAGCTCACAGATGCCAGCCAGCAATTTCGCGAGGCTAATACAAATAACCGAGTGCTAAAATCAGATGTCGAAGCTTTGAGAGCCAAGGTATAAGGTTCTTTCTTAATCATGACTCTAGTCATATCTCTGACCCTGTTGCATTATAATAGATAAAAAATCTCCCATATATTTTCTTCTGGGAGTACAGCTGTTAAGAATTAAATTCAAGCAAAGTTGATACTTAAACCATTTATGCAAATGAGGCATACGGATATGAACTAGTAGAGAAATTCTGTGCACTTTTAGGTGAAGTTAGCCGAAGATATGGTGACCAGGGGCTCCTTCCCCACCTTAAACAACCAGCTTGTTCAGAATCAGAGTCAGGTAAACGCACCACCACAACTCAACACCAATAGCCTGCGTGGCATGGCACATGTCTCGCCAACCATCACTGTCCATGGAAGTGATGCCTCATATGCTGGTGTTGCAGTTGATGGTCACATTTCATCTCTTGGTCTTGCAAACTTAGATATCAACAACAACAATTTCAACGCTGGAGTTGCTAGTGATGCTATGAGTTGTATCCATGAAATATATCGTTGAATGTTCACTTCGTCCAATTATAGCCTTATCTAGTTAGATTAGCAGGTCCTGTTTTGTCTAATCTTCAGGTCCATTGAAATAGTATGGTTTCTGTTTTATTTTGTTCTGTATAAAAGAACTTATTGTGGTCTCTAAACACACCAATTCTTGTGCTGCTAAAATATGGGAAGAATTCTAGGGGGTTTGAAATTATAAATGATGAATAAATCAAATGGCTTTTCCTTTGAACCAATCAATTGGAAAGTAAAAAATCCATCTTCAAGTTTTCATCCTGAGGAGTGAGGACTGTGGAAGCAAGTAATATACAATTAATTGGCTGATGATTAATAATTTTATTCCTAAAAGCAAAATGAATAAACCGCTACCTACCCCATCATCAACTCAAACTCACTGAAATCAACCTTGCCATCAAAGTTCAAATCTGCAACATCCACCATTTTCTCAATGGTGCTCATGTCCCAACCTTTATCCAAACCCAAGCAATCCAGAACCCTCTTCAACTCCATTGCATCTATGTACCCATCTCCATCTTCATCGAAGATTTTGAAGGCCTTGTGTAATAGCTCGCTGCGCTTTGACATGTCTTCCAATCCATTGAGAACTTCTTCCACAGGCACTTCATCATCTTCTAAGCCTCCATGGTCAGGCAGCTCGAACCCTGAGGGCTTCTCCTCCTCTGAACCATATAGCAAACCGAGCTTCTCTACCACTTGCCGAGCAGTTTCCTTCTTGATTCTTCCATTGTTTTCCATGCCGAAGACAGTGATGAGAGCACTGACCATCTGGTCATCCAGTTTGAGCACATTCTGGGGCTTGCAGGGAGGTTGGTTGTGATCAGCTTGAGGCTCTGAGCTTTGTTGTGAACATCTAAAAGCTTGTAAAAAGTCTCCAATAATCCTGGAGCATGCTTCTGCTATCCCCATTTGTGGCAATGCTCCGAGAACAAAATTCAACAAAATCGAATGAAAGCCGAGAATTGAATTACAAGAAGTAAATGCAAGATTTTGGTATAACTAGCTAGAGGTGTGATACAAGCAACAAGTATGGTGATTATTTTCATCAGAGTCCCCTACTTTTATAGATGCATCCATAAGATAGTTGAATGCCATTGTAGGGTAGAATCGTAGCAATTAAATAATGCTAATAATTGTATGCGCCTGATTGACATTATGGACTCCAAGGCTGGCAAATAAAACTGAATATAATAATGGGGCAATATGATTAAATATAAATATTTCAAGAACCATCACATTAACAGTACTGGTTTTCAGTGCTGTATTCTGCTTTTATTTCTAACATGATGGAAATCAAGTGTTTTGATGAATTCATATTGAGAGATACTCATGATCCCCACCCGGTGAATACCTTCTAGGGTGGAGAAAAAAAAGTAATAATTCATGTTTTTTTTAACATACAAGAGATCCATCTCCAAAAGGAGGAGAAAGTGGAAAGATCAAAGTTGCTTGGATAAGGGTCTATCCAAGTAGCTTCGTTGAAGACACTATTAATCTAGTGCAGTGTTTCATGTTAGAAGTGCAAGATGGAACAGTAGGGAATATTTAAAGCAGAGAGATCTGGATCAAATCAAATTACTTAGCTCTCACTTATATTTTGGGAGGCCCTATGGTCAGAAACCGCGTTTTGTAGTTGTACCATTAAGTATTATATGTATGTATATATATTTGTTATGGCTGTTTCGCTGCCTTTCTTCCTGCTCCCACTGCTTCCTGCATCACGTGGACGTTTTATTAATTCATATTCCCAAAATTCACAATGCAAAGGATTCCGTGTGGTGGCATCGATGTTAGATTCAATGCCCCTAACAATACCCTTCTGTCTGTGTTACCGTTAATATGCTTCTTTCAAATTGAACTGTAGGGAATCTATTTTAATTTAATACCCTTATATAAAATTTTTTAGAAATTTATTAAAGCAAACAGGGAATTCTTTAATCGGAGGAAAAAGAAAACACGTTGCAAGTAATAATTATAAGTTTGGTTTTAAATTCTTACCAATTAAATTATGATCAACGTCTAAATTAACCCAAAAATTAAAAAACATCAGCGTAAAATTCTTTATAACTTGAATCATATGGTTATATCTTTAAAAAAATTTCTGACGCACATTATAATTTAATTAATTTATTAATTAAGACAAAGGAAATCATATCCAAAAATATTTTAACAACAAAAATACAGATTGTCTATTTTCTCTAGGGGCCTTGTTGGAGTGCACAAAAATGATGTGCATGTGCATTGTTGATCACATTGGCTGTCAAGGGCAAAAGAGGAACTTTTGTTTTCTGATATAGTATAGTATTACCACGGGAAAACAACGATGAGAAAAATTAATGTCCTCCCAAAATTCATCCTTAAGCACCAAAAAAAAAAAAAAAAAACTCAATGCCAAACAACCAAATTCTTCTTCCCTCGACTAATTAATCTAATCAAGAACAAAAGAAATATAGCAGACCCAAACGCATGAAACTAAACGCAATAAACCAAAACTTACGAGGATACGATTAAAAATATTTATTCGTCACTATATTACAATTTGGGCCATGATGGGGGGCTGCAGCAGCCCATGTGTAGTAAAAATTTCTGAAGCAAAAGAAAACAGTAAACATATGTTGACAATCGAGCAGGAGGACCAGAAGCCGAGAGGATAGATGCATTATACATCTAGTATAGTCTAGAGATAAACCATGTCGGCGACGATATATATATATATATATATATATATCTATATATAATGCATATAAATGGGAAGAAAAGCCAAAAAGCTTTGATCCTCAATTAATTAGAGGTGCCGCGTGGTTGGATTCCGAATCGGTCCCTCTGGGCGCAGCTGCAAACCTCATAAATTCGGCTGGCACAGGAATATTTAACTCGGAACAAACAAGATGCAGAATTTTTGCAGTGACAGCTCCAATTGATACTTTGTTGAGAGTCACAGCAATGGAAAACTTGTTTGTCACGTCGCAAAAACCCGTAGACCCACCCATACCCGAGTGCCCGAACACAATGGACGAGCCATCGCTGGAGCTAAGCCTCTTAAATCCAAGACCAAAACCCCCAGCAGGCAGAGCTAAATTCTTGTATTCCCCAGCGCCCAAGAATTGATCAATGATCCTAGGATTCTCAAAGATCTTGGTAGAAGAATGGGTACGTGAATTGCGGTTTACGTTACTGTTGCTACTGCTGCTATAACTCGAGCTACTGTCAGTAGTAGGAATCCTGGTAAAACCATCCCTGTCGATATTTCTACTCCTATTAGCCTCCAAGTCTTCGCAATTGTTAGCTCTATTGATTAAAGGTATGGACATTTTCTTCCGTCTGCTGCCTTTCTCATTTCCGGAGGTCTTGGAAGGAGAAAATTTGGGTTTGTGGGGATGACTTCCAAGAGGAGGCTCAGAAGCGGAAGAATGAGGTGGCGGAATCTTACCACCATCTGCCAGTGCTGCATAATAACGAGCAAGGGCCCTGGCAGACATATGTCCATTCGCTGCTGGTATGATGGCACGGCGAACATGTAGCGCATTGAGAAAAGGAGTCAAACTGGTAGCTGTTTGAACAATTTGCTGTGGCTGGAAGGTGGAGGGGAGGTCAGGACGACGAGCGATCCCCGAGAGCTTGCTTATGTCATCTGTGTCTACAGTGAGAGCCGCCAGACGTGTTTCCACCCCTACACAAAGGCAATGAACCACCGTAACAAAGAAATCAGGTCATCTGAAGATTTTCTTTTACTCGTCCACATAATGACCATATAAAGAATATATTCAGTTTCCAATATTCATGTATGCACATCTAAAATTACTAAATGACTATCTAAAGAAATCCAGTATGCCCCATTAATCTTTCTAAAATTACCTAAATTATTACTTACCTCATAATTGATTACTCTCAATTTGCTTGCACACAAAAAAATCCAGTTATGTACAAAACTACATATTATAAAAAATATATATAATTGATAACAACTTGCCTGGAGGAATCCCTATATATAACTCTCCTTCAATATGGAGCGGGCGAACTATTGCTTCTTCCAGGATCTCCTGAAATTTCTTGCCAGATGCATGCTGTTTTATCCAAATAAATTATCGGAACAAAAATAGAATCTTTAGCTGGCAAATTCCATTTCTTTTAAGATTCTAAAAATTCTTATGCGCAAGAGACCGCAGCCATACCTCAATGATCCCACCACACAGCCAGCCAAACGACAAATAATGATATAGCTGCTCCTTTCCAGGTTCAGTCTCAGGTGCTTGCATGCAAATGCGATTTAAACATTGATCCCAATCAAGCATCAGGAACGGGTTTTCTCGATTCATGTCTGCCATTGCATTGTGCAGACCCGATGTATGGTTAAGTATGTGATGAACCTGAAAATAAACATTTTTTTTTTATATGTGTAAACGAAGAAATGAGAAATCTTGTTCCTGGACAAAGAGAGATTACAATAAGAAGGCGGTAAAGCTATCCTCCTAAACAGCTAGAAGGAAAAAAATACAATATATGGTGCCAAAGAGCTACCTGGTCCCGCTGGACAAACAGAAACAGAAACTCCCCTAAGAAAATCATGAGAACACTAGAAGCCATACGAGACGGCTGTGTTCCCTTTAAAGCCATTGAAGTATCCTTTAAAAAATGAGCATTATGCTCGAACTAATTGCCAAAGAATACTAAAAAATGCACACTTGCATAACATTTTGACCCCTTCACTCGTCAAATCCTGTGAAAAGCAAGCAGTGAAATTTCTTGAAACTGACATGCTGCCTGACTTGGGAGTCTCAAACATGTATCCCGTGTGTGAACGGAGGCAGCAACTAAATCACATGCCTGTGGAACTGACCCACATCTAGATGCGCCTCCTTAGCCCCAAGTATTTGCATACATTGTTTAATCAATCAAAGAGCTGGTTGCATGATATCTAATCAAGAACTTCAGCTATGGCAGCGGGCATTGGAGTAATATCTATCAGATTGCTACTCAATCTATGTGGGTATTGGAAAATGGTAATTTTTGAGAGTAGCACAGGTTGCTGATGATCTTGTCCTGACTATCCTCAGAGCTTAAGCTCTGGAGAGAGCTATCCACTATTTGAGTATGGTTAAGTAAGCATCTATAAGGAGATAGGAACGTCATGTACCATTATGTCTCACAAAATATGGTAAGGTCGCAATAGGTCCTGAAAAGAGATTGAGTGCAGTGCGGGTGTGTGCACCGTGATTCATCCTGGTAGCTGCCTCTTTGGGCTTCGTTGGAAACCTTGGGTTGTGTAATGCAATGAATGCCATACACAGCTTGTGTGTGATTCTTGTGTCAAAAAGAAGCTCGCTCTAAAGGAACATGTCATGATTTGGTGTGAAGGCCTTCTCGGTATTATTAATTCTCCAAAAACTGAAGTGCAAAATCAACTTTCACTCACATAAACTCACACAAAGGCAGTGCATCCCAGAGCAAGTTACCTTCGCGCACACTGCATTTATTCTCTCTCATCCTGCATAAGGATACCAACCTTCCACGCCACTTAATCCCAAATGATTAACATATCCCTACACATACTCAAAAGGACAACTTAATACGAGGCATAACACACAAAAAACACATCACAAACCAGAAGAACACTTGAAATGACCCACGCAAGCATAACTCACTGGCCAAAAGCAATGTTTCAGGACACCAAACCCAACTCTTTCCTTTCGAAGCCTACAGCAATCTTCCCAACCCTCTAAATGATCTGTTTTGTTCCCTCTCGTTCCTGACCAAAAACTTGCTCATGATTGTTCCACTGATTTGAGCAACTCCAACAAGCATGCTAGAAGAGTAAAGTAATTGTGAGGGATACTGAGTAAACAATATTGAACCGGGCAAATTCAGCCACCAAGAGAAAAAGAAGGAACATCTCCAACTTTCTAAGTGTCTTTCGAATCTTCTGAACTACTAGGTCTTAAAAGATGCAGCTCAAGGATTAACGCTTATGGAGATGCCATAAAAGGCAAGAAATTACTGCAAGATCAGACAACCAGCAAGCCAAAGAATTAAGATATTTACTA